TTTTTTTTTCAAACTAACGGTGAAATAGGGTTGCATCAAGCGCAGTTGTTATCTTTATCATAAATGTATTTTTCAATCGGAGAGATATTCTGAATAAAAATGGTTGTCACTTGCGGTTCTTTATCTATTACTCTTTTAGCAAAAATTTAGAGCGGAGTTTCCAAGTCCGTGAGCAAAAATTAAATTTCCACAAAACAAAACTCTTTAAAGTGCCTATGACACGAAATTTTTTTGCGTAAATATTTAGCTTATCATATGTACAAACCAATTCTGATAGAAGAAAAATTTAAAACTTAGTTCCTTTGGGCCCTAAGGTGCTCTTATTTTGTCTTAAAAGTGTCCTGTGGACTGGTAACGAATTAGCGGGTAATGACGTAGAAAACTGTAAATATTTTCAGTGCTGTTATCACGATGACATTGCTACCGTTGCTACTTTAAGTATCTTGAGAGCAGGTGGGAATTGATGGCTCGTGGAATGAATTTTCGGAAACCTAGGTAAGGGGAATACACGGTCCCTTCGAGCTTGAGTTTATGCCAGTATCCCCCAGAGGCTTTGCACTGTTCACGCAACAGGATATCGATCAGGAAGGCTATGGAAAGGGCTTGAACTTCTTTACTATGATGCATTTCTGCTATTAAAATACGATGGAAACTGCAATTGGTAGTTTTTCAAACAATAGGAAAAGCGCTGATGTAGCCATGTGGAAAGTGAGTATAAGTACATCTCAACCACGTGAATTAAACAACAATGAGAAGTTCACCATTCTTCGCTTGCGAAATGTCAGCCGAAAAGAATGTTGAACAATCGTGTTCGGTGTAGGAATAGGCCCCTTAATCAGCATTATTTTTAGCTGAATTCTTTGGTTATCTTCCCCTGATTTGATTATTGGTAGGTGCTCGTAACAGGCGTCTTTGAAGCTGGTACGGAGCATAAGGCCGACGACATTGAAGAGTAAAATCTCCTCGATGTCGACGATCGAGACTCGTCCATTTTGGCTATACAGCTACATCATTTGGATAGAAATACCCGGTATATGTGTATTATTCTTGTAGCTAACATCATTAGGCGCTCCGGCCACGCAATACATTCGTATTTCATCTTTCTCCACCACAATCTTCACAGTTTTCTACGTCACAGCCATGTAACATGATCGTTTTGGCCGCGCGCTTAAAGAGGACACCTTTCGGCCGTCAAATCGTACTTTCAATGCACAAAAAAAATGGTCGAGGAGAACTCGCTAGGTGCTAAGGTCGATTATTTCTAATTTTAAATACAGCTATCAACCAGAAAATGCAAAAAAAAAATTCCGTGATATAGGCACTTTAGGAGCCCAGACTTTTATGAAGAGCAAATTTTCAGTTTTTCTTCAGCTTATCTGTTTGTTTCAGTACTGTTGATATTCTCAAACATTTTCCAACGTAATAAGCATTCATGTACGTCACAAACATAGGTCATGAAACCTTTAAAATGGGCAGGGTTTGAGGGATTTTTTGCTGCTGACGGACTCAGCTTTCTAGAACAACAAAATGCATAAAATGAAAAATGAAAAACAAAAAGGAGTTTTGATCTTCTGATTGGGCACTCACTCTTGAATCGTTATTTAACCTTTCTACCTTATTATTTTAAGGCAGTGTTTGCTATTATTTCAGTACAGACAGTGAAGTTGTTTTCGTTAATGTATGTAGTCACGTGGTCATCAGGATGTGAAGTTGAAATAGTTATTCTGTTATTCAAATTCTGTGCTCGTGCACACAATCTCTTTAGACATAAATAAGATCGCACAAACATCAACTGTGCGTTTTGCAAAGATTAGACGCCTGATGATGGCCGAGAACAATGCAAGTATGTAGTATGGATTTTCTCAGGAAATTCTTTTAATGTGCACTCCGATTTCAATGTTTTTGTTCGCTATGATTGAGTTGATGTTCAATTTGCTTTTAGCCTTCATTAATTTAAACCTGTTGGTTTCGAACAATCATCTACCAGCTATACAAGCAAACTGCGACACAAGTAGAGGCCTTAAAACCTTTTCACTTCCTCAGATGTACGCAAAATAACATGAAATATTTCTTCGATCTGACCTTCTGTCCCAGATCTGAATCGCACGAGCATCTGAATGGAGCCTCTAGGTTATGTTTGTTCGCAACAAAGCCCATGTCGAACAGAATACCTGTTCAATCGATTTGGACTCATCTTTTTTTTTTTCTTTTTTTGCATGAACTGCAAAGAGTCACTCTTTAAGTAATGATAACTCGGATTGTAATTTTTTGGCGTTGGCCGTTCAATGTGAACGTCCTATGTGACCTTGTTTGGTTATTTTAAAAGAGTCTCCAATTGTAATGTTTGTTCCTCACTGTGGGAGTAACAGATTGGTGATCTGAATGCCACACGCATCTTTTGCAGAATATTCTTTCAATTATGTGGATTAAGGATGCGTTTTTGATAGCAGATAGCGCAAATTGTATGTCATATTCACAATACTCGTAGCTTCTGCAGTATCATAATTATTGAAAAACCTTGCTTTATATCCAGCAAAGTAATCAATTTTTGTGACTTTATGTAGGAGTATGTCAAAGCAATTGACCGAGCGCAAATCTGTAATTTTGATTTGCTTTGTTTGGTACAGGGGAAGAAGTCATTTACATTTTCGTTTTTATAATCATTTAGATAATGTATGAGTTAGATCTGATTACAAAGCAGTTCTATTTCTGCTGGCGAAAACACGATATTCGATTAAGAAGAATGAACACAAACAGGCTGGTTAAAATGTACTTGAAGGCGATCAGCACACCTAAACTGAATCGAACCCCCTCGTTCTCTAATTTTTATCCTCACAGGTACAGAAAATCGTTTTTATTCAAAGTGTGGTGGTTGCAATGAGGACATTCGAGACAAATATCTTCTTCAAGCATTGGGCAAACTGTGGCATGTCTACTGCTTGCGTTGTTGTGACTGTAGGGAAACGCTCGATGAAGGAACGTGTTTCTTCCGTGATGGAGACATTCTCTGCCAAATAGATTTTTTCCGGTAAGCAATAATTGCCTTAGAGTATCATGTATGTCTGATTGACATTAGTACCATATAAAAAATTTTTGTGCATATGTGTAGCTCCTTTTTCACATGCGACCATTAATATTTTCAATCGTTTTTTCGTTTGCCGCTATCATAATTTAAAAATCATATCAATTACAGATTCCGAATTAGAACAGCAGTTCTAATTTTGATGTGCAAATTATCCTCATTAGCGTAAAATACAAACTTTTGGGTTACTTCATCAATTCATGAAGTGTTCCTTATTGTTAAAACAATCTTTTCACCTGGCAAAGGCAGATGTATGCTTTTTTCGTTGTACAATGTCGTTCCGCGTGCGCGAAGGCTGTCTCACCCTTATGCAAACACGTTTCAGCACGAAAGTTTAAGTTTACAGGTTTTAACCTAGCTTCTTTTAGGGGAGAATGTTCATTTTGTTGCAGTTCAAAATGAGGAGTTTCATCGTCAAGATAAGGGTCATTTTGGATTTCTCAAACGTCACTGTCTTTACTTTGAACTAGAATAAGTAAATCTTTTTCGTCAACTTTTAAAACTATCTGACAGAAAGCTAGTCACCACTGAGTGTATGTCTGGGGGAGGGAGGGGAAGTTGTTGGACAGTGATTTTTAAATTTTTCTATTTGGAGTTTAAGTTACTTTCTGAGCAGTCATACCCTTTTGAAAATATCTCTTTCTAGAGTTTCGATTTCTCAGTTTTACAGATGAAAGCGTTTCGATCAGTTGTTGGCTTCAGTTCAATTCACCATATAAAATAGACCATTTAAAACTAAAAATTACTTCTTCATGATATTGTTCACAGCCGGTACGGGAAAGCTTGTTCGATTTGCCACGAAGGCATCTCCCCTCAGCAGAGCGTGCGAAAAGTCAAGGACAAAGTTTACCACATCACCTGCTTTTCTTGCGTTTCCTGTAAAAGACAGCTTTCAACTGGTGACCTGTTCTACATGCTAGAAGACGGCAGGGTAATCTGCAAACAGGACCTTGATGAAAGCAAATATTCAGGTGGGCTAATGTGGCATACAATACTTATAAATATGCTCAAAACTGAACTTAGAATGATTTTGAAGTAATTCCAACCAATCAAGTGAAAAAAATGTTTCAGATAACTACGAAGAATAACTGACTTGATTAAAAAGAACTTTTAAACACCTTTATCAAATGAGAAAGCGATTGAATAAGCTAAATTTTAATTTTTTTCTGGTTACGGTTATGTTTCAATACACCCATGTTGCCATTCAACATCACAATCACCCAAATCACAATGTTGAAAAGGAACAGGAAATTCTCTGGTAACACTGTTATGCGGAAATTGGTCGTAAATACGTCCTGATTTTTCTGATTTTTGTTTAGTTTTACTATTTCTTATTTTTTCTCTTTTAAGTCCAAAAATAAATGGGTTAGCGTCCAGGATATCATTTCAAACTATTTTGTTCTCATTGAATGAAGAAGTGACATCCTAAAGGTTTTACCGTTTGATTTTAAAATCTTACGGAAATTAGACCTTGTATTGGTCAAAAGCGATTTAAAGAAATAGCATAAAATTGCACTTGGGGACCTCCACGATAGATTCAAACAAAACATCTCATTATTCTTCAAATAACTCTAGGAAGTGCTAAGTAGAATGTAATGATGTCTAGAAAGAAAGATAAGGGGAAAGTAATTAGGAGCCACCTGAAAGCTTCGATGTATTAATTACTTCACCAGAATCTTTGTACCCTAAGTCACATTTATTCTCTTTAAATCATTTCACGCTTAAAAATTTTACGTCTGCACAGGGAAATTAAAGTTTCAGATTAGCTATTTAACTTGAAGATGTTTCAATTAATCTTGACGGAGCTTCTGTATATAAATAATGTCTCAGTGGATGGTATTCGAGTCTACAAACTCAGTGATGCTGTTGATACTTGAAATTTATAGTATAAAACAAAACTGCGTTTTGTTTATATGAAATGTCAGTAGTCATTGTTATAAATACAGTTTCAGGAGACTCCAACCAATCATCACCCTGCGAATCGCCATCCATCAAGGGCAAGCGGGTACGCACGTTTATTACAGCTCAACAGCTGAAAGTACTGAAATCAGTTTACCTGAGTACCCCTCGCCCTGATTTGGCCGAACGCCACAGGATCTCCGAAGTGACTGGGCTTGATATGCGAGTTGTGCAAGTATGGTTCCAAAATCGTCGTGCGAAAGAAAGGAGACAGAACCACAGAGATAAGAACCCCTGGATAAACCATTTCAATAAAATTGCCAAGAGGAGATCTCTTTCCCTGGATTTGTCTTCCACAATCGGTGCTACATCCTATCCGGAAGGCCAGGTTTCTGGTAAGATACATTCTGATGTATGATTTGTAAATTGGGCCTCTTTGCATAGGCAAGTAGAAAACGAGGGTTAACCTCTCTGAAAGAGTTTGTCGAACGGTTGATTGAGATCAAACGATAGCTTTTCTCTGTCTGGTTAAGTAGTCAGAGTCTTTCCCTCGAATGAAACACAACTTCACTCTCTTGTTCCGGACTAACCAGAAGCGTAAAAAATTATCTAAGATTTATTAGCTCTCACAAGGTTTCGATGAAAATAACCCTAGTTACGTTGACAAATTACTTTCGGCTTTTATGTTTCTTGTTGCATTCACGAGGGCTGAAGCTTTTTGACGCTTGTTTCTTAGAAGCATTAATTATACACTGCATGGCGAGAAAGGATGAGCTGATCATTTTCCGAACCAACTCCGTCATCTCCCAACATGATCTACAGAAAATAGGAATTTTTTAAGACTCCAAAAATAGTTTTCGAGCTAAAGTTGTTTGTTTGAGGTTGGCGGTGAAATATAACATGCTCATCATCAGGTGACGTGTTTGATAGCCTAATCTAAAGGGAATTATTACAGTTTAATGTAAGATTGTTCACGAACATTCTATCAAAACGAAATATATATTTCTTGTCAGCGTTTTCTAGCTGTAGTGCTGCCCAGCAAACAGAAGCCGTCAACCAGTCAGCCATAATGGACCCAATGTCTTCCTTAGCCATGCGAAGAGTGGCGAGTGCCCCTGTGTCACCTTCTGTCACTTCTGGTGCAAGATTCTCTTTCGCTTTCCATTCACCTAGCTTTCCACCAGTACACGAACTTCTGGAGCTATGCGAGGAGGAGCTGCGCACCCTGATGCATCAACCTCCAGCCTGCACTCAGCTAAGCCCCACCCATAGCTACTACGCTGACTCGGAGAGTGGACTCTCTAATATAAACACGCCAATTGATGAACGCTACTTTGTCTTCCCAGATACTAGCACACCCAGCAGTAGTGCCTATCCCTCGTCCTCTCTAGCTTTCTCTTTTGATCCTGTGGTGACCAATACCTTGAGTAGTGCAACGCGTCCGTGAGATAAGAAAATTTTGGGGGAAACCGAAAGAAAGTTGAAAGCTAGTATCATGCTCTTTGTTGTCTACTGGTGGGTCTAAGGTTGAAAAGTAATCGCTGCCTTAAACAAGTGCTTCAGATTTTCTTTTACCATGCAGTGATTAGATTTCCTCTATGACCCTGCTTTTCTCAGGCAAAGCTGTAATGATCGCTGACGTGTCTTTAAGCGTACTTTTTTGATAGAATTGTTTAACCCTTTAACTCCCAGACCAAATTTGCAATTCTCCTTACTGCCAACCATGCAATTTTAATGTTAGTTCAGAGAATTTAGTATTGGATCAACTAATTATCCCCAAATTGATGTTTTTCTTTATTCTTATCACTTATCTGGTTGATATTGTAATGATATTGTAAGGACAAATTTTGTCTCAGTCACTCATGGCAGTTAGAGGGTTAAAGCACCTAGCCATGTTACTAGGTTGTAAAATAGGACAGTCATTGAGTTCACAGCAGACCGTGGACCGACAAAAAAGAAAGGAAGAAAAAAGCAAAACCAGACAAAAAAAAAACTTAAAACAAACCAATATGGATAAAATTACAAATGTCGAAATTGAAGTCAAAGGCTGGGTTGATACATTTCGGCTAAGTTCAGTTGACAAGTTTAAAACAAAGGGACTTAAACCAGTACCATTCGGTTTGGTGAACATGGAACGTTTAAGTTTGAGAAAAATTTGCTTTTCCAAACTTGGTTGACAAGGTGACACTCCAATCATTTCAGTTTAATAGAAATAGGCGATACTGTTGTAATTCCAATGATGACAACAGGAAAGCATTGCAGGAAATACTAACGAATGAAATCGTTATTGCGCACCGGACCGCTCTTGAGGTAAGAAGAAGGGATCTCATGATCTCCATTTCAGTTCCTGAGACATCAAGAATCATATTGCCTGTGCCAGTCTTATAATATAATATATAAAGAATAAGCAGGTGTCACTGTTTCTTCTGACAACCGCTAAGTTTCTTTCGCCAGCTATTTCACTTTTCTCCATTGGTCAAATTTATGGCCTAGAAAAGGCAATGAATTCTCATGTACGCTAGGGGAGTCGTGACACAAAAGCAAGCACAAAAGCTTTTGACAAGCACCTGTTTCTTAATTTATTGATGGTGTTGGTGTATTTCTTCGGGAATATCTTCTATCTTTGTAAGAGTGTGTTTTATAACGACGGCCTATCTTGATATTTTATAATTGTAGATATTGAATCGTTTATCACTGCATGCACTTTTGCACGATCGAATAAAAATTCTGCTGTTTGTAGGCTATTTTTGTGTATGCTACATTACTGCTTTGTCTGTTTTCACAATCTTTATGATGCTTGGAGAAAAACTAAAAACTAAAGTATTGCAATAATGTAACAATGAAAAGTATGAACATGAACGTATTGTCAACTTTAAAACCAATTTTTTCACAATCAATCACAAAATTTTTTTTCACATAATGATACGAAAATAGCTCGAAAATAGCTAAATAATGATAATTTCCCCTCAGTAGAGAAAAATCTTACAGTCAGTCACTTCCCAGTAAGCTACAGTAAGCGGCCAACAAGAGAGACATTATTAAGACTGTTGTACAGGTAAATAGCACCTGTCAACCAGTCAAATCCATCCCCTTATGCCTTTTAACGTCAAGGCTTGCTTTGTTCCTCCTAAACTTTGAAAAGGGGAAGGGGGAAAGGCCGAAGAGGATAATAAACCCGCCGAATGAAGCCAGGAAAAAAATTAATTTTTCTATATCTGTCGACTTTGCAGTGAATTATCTCAGTTATGATAGGCTTACTACTTTCTTCAGTACGCAATGCTTAATAAATACAAATAGTTGTTTCAGCTTCTGCTGGGCCCGATGCGAATACTGAACCATTAGGAGTGAAACAGCATGTATGAATCTCGTCTGTGTCACACTAAAGCAAAAGGGAGAAAAAAAGTACATGTAATAAAATAGTTCGATTCAAGCCATGGTAGATTTCGTGCAGCTTTTAAGAATTAAACTGAGTAATACTAATCAAAACAAGATGTTTCGGTGATGACATTTCACAGCTATGAAATGCTAATAACGGTCGGAAACATTCTATGTGGAATTGAAAGAGAGTAATCATATTGGAATAAATATAAAAAGGTATGGAACAAAAAGCAATTTCCTTGATATAAATCCGGAACCGATGCAGAACCCAATGGCCAGGAATATTTCTCCAAATTCCCTAGGAACTTTTCACTTACCTCAAGTTCCTTTAAACATAAGGCAGTTTCTACGTCCCAAACGCGAACCTAAGGTGAAAAGAGGATCGAAAAAGTGATTCTCAAGGAATGAATAATGTTATCTTATACCGTATAAATTACTTTTTTCGGTTTGTGATTAGTTTATAAAACTCGGAGCACCCTTTACTAACCAGACGAGAGCCGAAAATTTAAGGGGAATGTTGAGTCACTCGTGTTTTCCAGCGCTTTTGGCAGGTTGTTTGTTCTAATGTTGAATTCTCTTTGGCTCCTTGTGATATTTGTCCTTTTTCGAAAGCGGTAAAAATTGTTCTCGACACTAAAATGAAACCTGCTCTCGCGTAAAAATTTTTCCCAACACATGGGCGGAATAGCGATTTATTCCTTGGATGACGTTATCCAGTCTTCGAACACCCAGAGCCACGTTAATTTAAACAAAATATCTCGCGAAAAAGAGGGGATTACAAATTATCTTTTATCATATACAGCATACAAAAGAAGTTAAGGAAAAACTTAGTAAAATAATACCAAAACCTCACTATGGATTTCCAAATGCTTGCAACAAAATTGAAGAATTTATTTACCGTTTGGTCATCGGAAGCGGAAGCCAAAAGTTTACCATCTTCCGAAAATGAACACGCCTGAAATAAAAGAGTGAGAAGTTGCGCATGGCTTGTTGACCCTTAAAGAGATTTTTGATGGCAGGTATTTCAACTTGCAAAGATAAATTTCTTCAACCACTGGTACTCAAAGCTCTAGACAAGTAAAAAATTTGCATGTTTTTCCTGTCAAATGCCTAGGAGTTTACAAAAGGAGTTTTAAAAAAGCTAAGAGCCTCTGCCTCAGCCCCAGAGGTTATGGTTTGCAAATGGTTCACCTGAACCCAACCAGTGTGTCCTTCCAGTACATGTACCAAGTCCCCTGACTGACTGTCCCAAAGTCGTACAGTACTGTCCCAGGATGCTGAGGCCTGAGAGAAGAATGCAGAATAAAAGATTTACTAGAGGAGTATCCAAGAGTGGAATTTCTGGAAAAATGAAGCTGATATATTCCTAAAGATCCTGTTTGATACAAAAAAAAAAAAAGCAAGGAAAGGTTGTAAAGGCCTGAAGCAAAACGCTTCTTCTATTTTCCCTAGCTAATTAACTATGAGAAGTTTTAGGAGTGTGGCGTTTTACAAGGATGCCTTTTCCATGAAAGTACATGTACATGAAAGGAATACAAATTTGCCCAAAAGTGGCATTTGAAAGGGGGAAAGTGTGAAACTCAGGATGGAGTAAAGGGAGAACAAGAAATGTCAAAATAGTCGTGCACTAACCAGTAATTTGTCACACGAAAATTCCACTGCATGAATATTACTCTTGTGTCCCTTCAGACACTTGACATCCATTTTCCCACCCCCAAGTGACCACAAACGAACTGTACAATCCCAAGAACCTGTTGCCTACATATCATTTGATACAAAAAAATACACATTTTAAAAGTATTTTTTTTATTCATATGTTGTAATTGAAAAATTGTCAGGAAAGCTATCAAAAGAAACAAATTATTTCACATAATTACATAGATGACCAGATTACGGATTCTTAAAATTTATTTACCACTGTGGAACTATCGATAGAGAATGCACAGGCCTGCACAACATTGCGATGACCATCCAAAACAAATGCAGCTGTACCTGTCTGAGGGAAATAACAGATTCACAGACTGATACAGTTACAGTAAGGATCCACTAATGGAAGTCTCTTTTGTTTGCTAGCAAGCTGAAAATTGGTTATTATACTGGACAGTTATTAAGAAATTAGTCTGAGCTAGGCTAAAACAGTTGGTTCATAAATAATATAATCCAAATTACTAAGATGATTCATATGATTATGTCTGTATGTGGTGCAACTATTAGGTGAAAAATAAGTGGAGGATGACCCATGCAAATGTTGTAATTTAAATTTTTCCTAGGTTCAAAATGTTTCAAACTGTTCTGGTTTTGACTGTCTTTCTTATCAGTTAAAGACCACGAGTACAGGTGAAGGAAATTAAAAATCAAACTTGTTTGAACAAGTTAAAACCAACTTAGAAGATACTATTTGAACCACAACATATACCGGTGCATTGAGGAATTCAAACCAATAGCAATATGATCATTATGGAAACCTTCAAGTTCCAAACAATTGCTGATGTGTCCCAAGATCCAGAGCACAAATAATTGGAATCAGGTGAGAAACAACACGTTTCAACACTGTGGGTGTGTCCTATAAAAAAAGCAATTTGTTTAAATTCACTGTGATTTCTACAAGATTATATTTTCAGTCAGTGATTCCTGTAAATTAACTTGATAAAAACCTTCTCAATTGATCCAAATGCAAATTCTTTTCACAATCATTTAAGAACATTATCAAGTCAGTCACTCCATGGATAGTGATAAAACATCATATTCTCTTTGTAACAAAAAAAGTGTGGTCATTAAACAAGAGAATGAACAGTTAGATCTCAAAAGTGAAACAGTTTAGATAACTTACCTTCCAGGCTAAATACCTGTTTCCCTGTGGTACAATTCACAACTTGAACAGTATGGTCATAGGAAGCAGAGGCAAACAGCTTTCCATCAGATGAAAAACACACACATTTTATTGCACCTATAGCCAAAGAGATCTTCAATAAGAAAATTGCAAGAAATTAGCATTCCCATACTTATAAAAATAAAAGATTTGGTGATTTTGCAAACAAACACACAAGATTTACAAATAAATATCACTCCTTGGCCCTGTAATTGAAAGCAAATGGTTTTAGAAAAAAATTCTAATTCTAATAGAGGACAAACTCCCATATTTAAGAACAATAACACTGAATTGCTCTTAACCATTATGTACAACACCCCTTCTGAGATAGAGTTTTACACCCATAACCATTAGTAAGAACATATTGATCATCAATTGGTGTTGTTCCATGATATTTCATTAACCTGCTTCCTATTTTTCAAGGTTTCAAGGAATACAAAGAACTTTTAAAGCTCTTGTGTATTTTAAATCTTATTTTATACAAAATCTGATGAGACAAATTTTTCAATTTCAAAAAAGGATCTACTCAATGAAAATTTTTGTCTCTCTAACATACACTTATTATAACATTGACTGAGAGAGAGAGAGAAAATTGTTCAGTATGGTTATCATTATGTGTATCAAGCATTTCTTATCAGAGATACACACATGCTCCACATCGCTACAGAGATCATTGCATGGTAACATTTTTTACCTTCATGACTGTCCAAAGTAAATAAAACTTTGCCTGTCTTTGTATCCCACAGTTTGACCAGCATATCATCCCCACCTGTTACAATTTTGGACCAGTCAGAAGAAAATGCACATGTATTCACCTATTAACAGATATTCAGAAGGTTACTACTATTAATATATGTTTAAGGTCTCCTTGAGGTGATACATAATTTCCTACATAACCTCTTACTGAAAAAATAATTTTTCATTATGAACATGGTGGTGACATAGACTGCAAAAAATTCACAACTTTTTCCTTTGTTCTTTGTTCAATTCTTTCATCTTCCTTAAAATTTCAAATCAATTAATGCAAATTGTGCTCTTTTCTTTTTAAACTTTTTCATGCTCATTATTCTATTTTTGAAGAAGATTTGGGACAAGTTTTGCCTGTGCTTAACTTTGAACCAGGTTCATACCTGCAAGTTTTCTAAAACTGCTGATAATAATTGGCAGTTGTTTATTAATTTGATATACAAGAACCTTGTTGCAATTGTTGTAATCACAGATCAATTACTTTCTTAAAGTAAAGAAGGGTAATCATCTCTCATACCTCGTCTTTATGGCCGATCAATGACCGGAAATTAATTTTTGTTAGCTCTGCTGGTGATACAAAACCACTCTCATTGTGATCTGCATCATCTTCGTCCTCTGGGTTATCCAGATCAACAACAGTGAGCAAATCTTTCTCATCTCTCCTCTCTGTTTCGAATGATCCTCTTAAGTTTGCCATCATTATTTCTTTAGATGTATCAGTTCCTCATTTTGGGCATCAACAAAAAACTTATGTGCTCAGAGAAGGCTTGCCAAAACACTACACTGAGATCAGCTACGTATCACTGATCAGAACCCAAAAATTGTTCTTAGCAGCCATATCTGTCGTGTTCAAAGGCACACTGTAGAGTTAAGATATCCACATGCGACGTTTTCAAGGTAAAAGAACGAAAACTACTCCATTCTGATTTCACGCAGTTGCATTTCTGACGCTGTTATGCAGAATCTGCCAGGCGTTAATAGAGAGCACCAGAGCGATATAATGGGGACTAAGGTCTAGTGTCCAATGTCTCTCCACCGTTAGGCGCTTTAAATATTTTGTCACATGAGGCGAATCATGAGGCAAGAAATACGAATAACTTTCCTTTATTTTTCAGCGCTTTTGTGCGATTTAATCGCCACGAAGAAATCCTAATTCTGTTTTCTTAAATCTGCGAAAGAAGACTGGCTATTTAATCCGAAGAAATACGCTTTTGGTGGGATTTGGCTGGCTTCCTGTTGGATTGTCTTGCCTTTCAACAGTGTCAAACTGTGTCAACTTCAAGAGGAAAGCGAGGTCAGGAAAGCTCTTTATCGCGAATTCTCACTGGCTGTTTTGTTGTTTTAGTTACCAGAGCTTATTTGTTTGGCTAATTGTGCTTTTCACGCTTTGAAAATTTATTCAATTATTCTACCGATTATTCCGCTGGTTACGCGTCGCCGCACAGCAACAAAGACCAGTCGGCAAATCATCAGGATTGCATGACCCAGGAAACCGTTTTGCGCGAACGGAAACCTTCTGTTGACATCGATCAAAGGAAAGTTTTTAAAAACCAATCAGACAGTGCGTTATCAATATAGACAGTGAGTTATCAATACCATCTGGTTGATACATCGGCGGCTGTGGCAAGCCTCAAGAACGGCGTGAATTCCAGTGGTAAAAAAAGACTACCTGATCCAAAGCTAAACGGGGTTAACTGGCTAAGCGCATCGCGATCTGGAAGATTTTACGACCCTTGGAGGACATAACTTTTGGTATATTGTAGGTTGAGTACCCACGAAGGAGATTACGAATCTGTTAAGCTACAGATTTGGTATTCTTTTAATGGATCAAACTATGTTTCTGTTTAGAAGCTACAACTGAAAGTGGCTCAGCTCTCGGAGTGGGCTCAACCTCATAGCTTGCTTCAAGTTTTCATAGCGTTGATATGGCTACGGAGGACCTAAGAATCAATATCAAAGAGCTTCAGTATGACAGGCAGCGACTTTCAGCATTAGTTTTCCAACCTCTTCAAGAAATTAAAGATTTTGTGGCCCGAAACTTAAGGTTGGACGAAGTAGATCACATCGTCTTACTTCTCCGCAATGCTATTCGAAGTGACACGCTGAGAACTCTCACGGACGGCGAAGCTCTAATCGCGGTTCTTAATCTGTATTACGGAAAAGATAATTTGCGAGTTGTGCAGCGCCTCTTGAAGAAGATAAATTGTCACGATCTCCTCCAAGTAGTCAGTGAGTGGGAAAGTCGCAACAACCCGGTGCATCCACGAGTTTTTCAAGGTACGTCATCGTCCGTTTTTCATCTCTTGTTTATAGTTTGACCCACGCGTTATCAGGATATTCGTCCAGCATTATGCAAATGGTTTTATCTTGCTCTTATTGTGTACTAAAAAAGCTTAGAGTCACTGATTCTCTCTTGTAGAATTTTTTCTTGGATTCCTTGAGGATGACATGACAAATTATTCAAATACTACGATCATTGAGAAAACCATTAAGACCGGCGTAAATAAACACGAGAATGTGAGAAGATGTTTACATTATTTGCATTTCCACGTACACCTAATGCTCGTAGTGATGACAGTATATAAATAAATTAAATTCCCTCACGATGGAGTTCTTGAAGTTTAATTAAATTCTTCAGCCTAAGTTCTTTGCTTGCAATAGGGAAAACGCCTCTTAGAAATTCAGGAAGAAAGGAAATTTTAGTTCTAAAATGCGGGATAATTTTTTTAAAATTTAGATACTGTTGTTAATGTTAAATGCTAATAATATTAATGTTTTGCTGGTATAAATTAAATCTTCAGCCTAAGTTCTTTGCTTGCAATGGAGAAAACACCTTTGAAAAATTCAAGAAGAAAGAAAATTGTAGTTCAAAAATTCGGGATAATTTTTTAAAATTTAGATACTGTTGTTAATGTTAAATGCTAATAGTATTAATGTTTTGCTGGTATATTCTAAGTTTGAATATTCTTGTAATGGTTATGAATGTAATTTGCATATTTTGAGGAGGATAAATATTATTGTTACTTTTATTGTAATTATTGTAAGAATCACTTAAAGTGATATTTGAAAAATTATTAGGAATTAATTATTATCTTCTGCTCTTTTTTCTCTTATATTTTTTTTCCAGAGTGTGGCTACTTTCCATTATGGATAAGGATCAGAAACCATTTTACATGGTTCTCTGAGAACAAGAAGACAATATTGCAGAAGATCAAAAGACTTTTCCACATCCCTGAGATTGCCCAAGGTGACCCTGATTGGGAAACAATTATATACATGGGAGTTTCCTTTGGTGCATCAGACCTTCTGGTTTACATGTTAGTGCCTGAGTGTGCACGTAAACATGTCCGTTCCTCTCTTGGAAGAAATGATGTCTGTCTCACTATGCAGCAATTAAGTATAATTGGGATTTACTTTGGAAGGAAGACGAAGAGAAATGGTTTTGGTGATGACCTTTCCCTTACCAGCTTTACATCCATGAATGAGTCTTTGCAAAGTGACTTTGTTCAAGATGGTGAAGGTCGGGAGGTTTTGCATCACTATAAAGCTACAAGTGAAACAAAGAATGGATGTTATAATGGTAGACAGGAACAAAATCAGAGTAATTTGAGTAACCAAGATTTTTCACAATCAGTTGTGTCACCAGAAAGAGGAAATGCAAAAGTTGTACAAACAAACATGGGTTACATTGATACTGCCTCTCCTGAAGACAAAACAGACTTGCCCATCAGGGTTGTGCGGCCAAAGATAATGTATATTGACCACAATGTCCAGGCTGCCGTGGATGTGGAAGATTCACCAGTGAGAAGCAAAGCTGTATCTGGTAAAGAACAGGATCAGATTATTGTAAAAGAAACCTCAGAAATGACAGAATCGATGCCCCCAAAGTCATCTCCAGGTCACAGGGGTCAGCATCAGTGGCAAGAAGATAGAGAATGGGTTCCAGCAATTGAAAGTTTGATTGTACCAGAGGTCAAGCAGAGCAAAGAGCTGCAGTCCTGGAGCATTCCTGATGAGCTTTACCACACAAGTCAAGGCAACACCACAGGTGACAGTCACAGAGGTTGGTCACATAACACTTCCTTGGAAAATAAAACTGGCCAGAATTGGTCAGACAATGAAAGAGTTGAGAGCAATAAAAAGAGAACATCTGTTTTAGACTTTTCATTTGAAAACAGTTGTGTTGATGGGGAGAGAGGCTGGTACTCTCAAAGTCCACCCAAAAAATCACACATTGGAACAGCAGTTGTGGAAAATGGTCCCATATCAACAAAATCAAAGTTGATTCCATCAGAAATAACAACTTCCAAATCAGAAAACACCAAAACATTCACTTCAACAGCAACATTCCAAATCAGTAGGAGGAATAAAAACGCCAATTCTCATCAGAAACATATGAGTTCTCTGAATGGTGAAATTTATAAGACAGAAGCCCTGCCATCCTTAAATATGAGCCAATCAGATTTTGATGACAATAGAGTGATGACAAAGGATAATCAGGGGATTCCAAGGCAACCAGAGCCTGGTTCCTCTTGGTATGAGGATACAGCTTTGGAGGACTCCTTATACAGAGAAATGGTTCCTGAACCAGAACCTGAAGACACACAGCAGTTTCATCCTGTTGAAGATTACTATCTTGATAACATGAAACCCCAGCAAGCGGCTGTGACTCCAAGAATTTACTCTGCAAGGACAACAAATGGAAGAGCTCACACTCCAATATACTCCCCTCCAGAAAGTTTCCGGGATGCCACCCCTGTAAGTGGCAAGCTGGTGATGGTAAAAACTGCACTTGTTGATCAACCAAGGCAAAAGCTATCCGTAGTCATGGTCCATCACGACAGGGAAGAATCACCGAGAGACTCAAACAATTTAAGGGAGTTTCCCAAAACAACTGGCATGACCAGTGCTGGTTTCTACAGGCCTACAGATCATAGCCCCCAAGAATATAATCAATATAATGATTATAGTCCTAAAAACTCAAATGGACAATCACAACAGTTTTCAACCCTGAAGGCAGAGAGTGAAGTGTTGTCAGATTATGATGACAGTGTCTTTACTGATCATGAATACAGAGATGACGCTAGTGGAAGATTTGCAGTGGTACCCCCTCCATATGTTCCTCCACCAGAATACAAAAAGACTTTAAGAAAGTTGGATGGAAAATCAAATGATGATTCTACCAGCATAGGTAATTTCATTCATTATGTTTTAATATAGATATACAGTATGGTAGATTGTGGTTTGCAAAAGATGACTCTGATGATACAATATATACCTGTATCATTCTTGTACTGTTTTGCTGTGATCAATTTGTAGCCCTGACACTTACTGTAACATGAATCAATGTCAGTATCTGGGCAACTACACACCTACCCCTCACCTACCCCTCCCCTACCCTAACCCAATAACAGTCAACTGACAGCGAGCTAGGGTTAATTTTGGGTTAGGGGAGGGGTGGGTGTACATTTGCTCAGCTTACTTTGTTTAAAGGTACATGTATGGTTACAAGTTGAACAGTTAACCCTTTAACTCCCATGACTGACCAAGACAGAATTTCTCCTTACAATATCAATACAATATTAACCAGTTAAGTGATGAGAATAAAGATAAATATCAATTTGGGAATAATTTGTTGATCCAATACTAAATTCTCTGAACTAGGACATTGTTAGAATTGTATGGTTGACAGTAAAGAGAATTACAAATTTTATCTGGGAGTGAAAGAGTTAACAGTTCAATTTATTATGTTGTGCATAGAAACAAAGTACATGTGTATCTGTATTGTACAATGTACATTCAATGCTTCAGGAGACAATTCTAAGAGATGTGGAGACTAATGTCAGTAATACTTATACATAGTGGAATGAAATCTCAAAGTTTTGTTTAGTTATAACCTTAAAAATGTCTCATTTGTTTTTTAGACACATATAGTTCAGATCGTGTTCATAAGAGTCCTCTCCTGTCAGCTGCAAGTGTAAGTTCAATATACAAAGAGGTGAGTGTGTTTTTCCAGTAAGAGCTGAATTGTATCAATCATGGATAATGCATGTTTTTGCTGAAGCATATTAGTTATTAATTTAATGTGGTTTTATTTGCAGAAAGAAATGTTTCTCAGCAGAGAAGAATTACAGATGAGTATAAAAGGGGCTGAGGACAAAGAAATAGAAAAACAGGTTAATATCAAAATTTCATTTTTTGCTTTTACCCTTTAACTCCCAGATCAAATTTTCATTCTCCTTACTGTCAACCATACACTTCTTATAGTGTTGGTTCAGAGAATTTAGTATTGGATCAGCTAATTATCCCCAAATTAATATTAATTTTTTCTTCATTCTCATCACTTATCTGGCTGATGTTCTATTGTTACTGTAAGGAGAAATTCTGTCTTGGTCACTCATGGGAGTTAAAGGGTTAAAGGCGAAGTTGCATTGATACTATTTACCCCCTACCCCCTACCCCTACCCCTTCCCCTCTCCTGCAAAATTTCTATAAAATTAACAAAGGCTATAGTGATACACAGGTTCTTATGACTTTTTAAGGCCAGGAGTTGGTTACCTGCTGGGATTTGTTTTTTATTGTAGATAGAACTTTGTAAGGATCTCATGGTTGCTGCTAAAGCGGGGGATGAGGATGAGGTGAAGAGAACCATTGATGAAGGAGTTGATGTGAATTATCAAAATGAGGTGCAGTTTATATCCATGTAGCTTCAAATCTTGTGTTTATTACTTTTTTGCTTTAATGAGTTCAGTAAATAAAACGCTTTCCTTCCGTGTGTAACACGACCATGACTATTCAGAACAGAGGAAAAAGTTAAACTCAAAGTTGCAGTTTTGCATCCCGATCGTTTGAAAGCCTTGGCGCGAATTTTTTTTGACGAATACGCTAGTAGTCACTTTTCCCAATACCCTCGAAACTGAGAGGCACAAGTTTACTGCAGAACAATCATCTGCAGAAAATATTAGAAAGCTGTTGTCCGTCTACACATAAATTTACGAATGAGGGTAAATGACGAGATACTAATCAAACCTTCACAGTACACACATTCGCTAAATTAGGGGCATGAAAATAAGTTGATGTCATCAGTTTCAATTATATGTAATGTTTTCAATAATAACTATCAATGGTTGAGTTATCTCTTCATTTAACTAACATGTTATTTCTTCTGCCAAATTATAGATGTAGTCGTTCTTGAATAAGGCGAGACCTTTGTTTCATAGTGGCTTAACGCAAGGCTGCTTAAGTATTCTTACTATGAAACTTAACTGTTAACAATCTTTCTCTGTTTAAAGTTTGGTCAGTCAGCAATGATGGTTGCCAGCTGGGAAGGACATCTTGGAATTGTAGAGGCCTTGCTTAGTGATGACGCTGATCCTAATTTACAGGACGGGGTAAGTTTCTACGTCGCAAGTTCTGAACTTGAAAATTTTTCTTCTCAGATAAATACATACCATAGGGCCCTGCCCAATGGTTTTACTGCAAAATTTTAAATATTTTTTGAAGTAATTCAGTGATCAACAAGAGTACTATTAGAGAATGTTAACTTGTGGTTAGTTTGTTAAGTTTATTATTGTCTTGACGTTGTGAAAAGTAACAAGATTTGCAATGGATGTTTTCCTGCCTCCACTCCCCGATTACGTATGCCCTTATTTACCTCACCCTCCTCCGCTTTTAAAATCAAAGACGGCGGCCAAACTTTTCTTAAGGAAATAGTCTGCGCATTTTCGCCAAAACTGCCCTTGCACCACAGGCTAAGAGTCTTGCACCGATGTCCTACTTCAATAAGTTCCCACCTTCCTTATTTAATTGTTCTGCTTTCAATTTGTTATTCTTCGAGTCAGTGTGTCTCATCGCACTGTTTTGTAACGTAGAGCAATCGGTTGTCTGTTCTTACAAATTATATTTACATGTAAGATCAACGAACCTAACAGGGCGCCAGGGTAAGAGTGAGGTAAGAGTAAGTGCGAGGATTGTGAAAAAATGCGCTCGATCGAGGAGTTTTTTTCTTTTTGTTTTTGTTTTTGGTTTGGTTTGTTTGATTGTGTATCTATTTATTCTTTAATGGCAAAGTTAAAATGAATAGGAAGAAAGTGGTGTTCAAAAGGCAACACCATTCCCGTTTCTTCATAGTTTGGCAAGACTGCTCTGCACGAGGCTGCCATCAGTGGTCAACATGCTATTGTTCATCGTCTCATCCCTGGTGGAGCTAACGTCAATCTGGCTGATGAGGTGCGTGATTTATTTCAAATTACGCACGGCAAAATTTCCCTTTTTTACACGTTTCTGTTGCTTTGAATTCCTCCTTTCCTTGTTGCATGTCTGTGCGGCACTTTAGCAGACTTTCAACGAACAAGCCTACGTTCTGGGGCTTTTTGTATTGCAACGGTGGAGATTTTCTCTTGGGGAACCTTTATTCAAGAATTATTTGGACGTGGACTTTGACGACAACCTTTGTGTCTATCACCTTGACTAAAGGGACATTTATATCGAGTGGAAACCGTTTGCGGCACTGAGGATTTCCCCGGCATGAAACTTCCCTCATTTTTGTGTACGGCTGGACTTTACCCTTCACTGCTCTTTTCTAACAGTGTTGCGCTCCAAGATATGACTTGAATGAGAGAGCTTTATAAAGGGCTCGAAAGGTCGTAGACATAATCCCGACGGTAATTCGGAGTTGAAATTGATTTCTTTCCTACGGCATCCGAACTCCTGTCCAACTCGTAAGGTACATGTACTTCCACCCCTGCTAACGGTACAAAAGAAGTTGGGTATAGAACAATGAAACCTTGGGTTTGCATCCAGTGGAGGGGAATTACATTTTTTTTCCGTCCCACACATAGAACAAGTGTTCAACATCTTTCCGTATTCTCTTTGGTGACTCGCTTTGTACTTCCCTCAGGAAAAAAGAACCCCTCTTCATTATGCCGCCATGAGAGGAAAAAGAAGAATAGTAGAAGTTCTCCTGCTCTTTGGTGCGAATGTTTCGCTTCTTACGAAGGTAAAAGTTTGCGGTTTTTAAACTTAGCTCGAGAATAGTTTTAAGTATCTATTCAGGTAAATAACTCATTCTCTTTTGGTTACTGGTTTGACTTGTCCAGGAAGGAGAATCTGCGATTGAACTTGCCTATTGGTACCGTCATGACGATATTGTAACTTTGTTGCAGTCTACTGGCGATAAAGTAAGTCTTTTGCACTGTTGACGGAATTTTTCATAACTTAGGTAAAATCTAATAATGTTCTTGGGACTGATATGGTTCCTTTCAATGGCGTTGCAGAGAACCCGTAGAGAAATGGACAGTCTGATACGAAAGCAGAAGATCCGTTCCGCAGCATCTTTACCAAACTTGTCCAAGGTCAGTCTAAGCCGGCAAAGCATGTTTAGGTAAACCGTGTTTAACTGAATGAAAATCAGAAACAGAACTGAAAAACTGAATTTTTCATAGGATTCAAGTAATTGCTGACTTGTATTTTCAATAGGTTGTATCTGAAGTTGACAAACAATGGTTTAAGCAGCTTCTATGAAGAAAAAAAAATTAAACCGAAACACGAACATAAACAAATATGTTTAAGTTTTGGTGTCAATAGGGTATAAGTTATTGTATCACTTAGTCTTGTCTCTATCGCGCCTTCCAGCGTCGCTCTTCGTTAAAACTTCCACCGAGATGTTTCATGCATGTACACCAGTGGATGTCGTTGCAAGACAAGCGGTGAAAACTTGCTTGTTGTGTTACGTCTCCCATCCCTTGAGGGCAGCAAACATATTGAAGTCTCCAGTAGTAACAAAATTTAAGGACATGGCACACGAACATCTGCCACGTTTGACAGTGCCTTGAATACCTTACACTTTGACATAAAATAGAAGAGAGACGAGTGATTCAGATTCAAACATGGCACAGTCGATAGTGCCACGTGAGGGACATGGGAAAAATGCAATAAACAGATGGGGCCACCATAATTATTTTCGGTATACATGGCTCGATCCTGAGTGGTTCTTAGTTTTATAAGTTTTTCTGAGTATTTGTCGCTGATAAATACTCGGAAATTTTTACTATATCGCATTTCTTTACTGCGAGTCAGCTTCCTTATCTTTTCCCCTTCGGACAGCCTAAAGTTTTCTGAGGTTCGTTTCTTATTCGATGCACTACTAACTAGACACTCTTGTACCGTGTTCTACGTTATTTTTTAGGCGTCATCGATGAAAGAGCTCTCCCGAGCCAGGAGCCGTCCAGACCTGCGCAAAAAGAAATCAGTTTGTCCCATCCAGTAAATTCGCGTAAGAGCCGTTCACCGCATGGCTGGACACATGTAGTCGGAATCAAAACTCCTTCGTATGTTACGTTTTTAAGTTTAATTTCAACTTTTTCGCTTCCAGATCTGGGAGAAATGTTCTCAATTTCAAAAGTTTTGGAGTCAATTAGGTCTATTTATATGATAAATATATATAATATATACATTCTTCGTTTAATTTTCATCGTACCATTGGTTATATATATTTGTAAAGGTGTGGGTCCTTACATATCGAACAAAGATGCGAATTGCATCAAAGGGATATCTGCTGTCAATTCAGCGTAGCAAATATTTGTATGCAATTTTTTAAGAAGCTGGTGGCGCTTTTTAAGGAATTTTTAATGTTGTTGGAGTTTGTTAGACGTATTTTTATAGACTTAATACCAATTTGTAAGATAGTTGTAGTTATCTGTTACTTTCATAACTGGTGTGCTAAAATTCACACTTTTGTATCGGATAGATTTAAAATTCTTTGGGATTTTTAGTTGTTGGCCACAAATACGTAATAACTGCATGACGATTTTATGTAGGTTTGTAATTGTGTGAGGTTTTCACAAATATTTTGTACTAGAAAATGGGGAAAACGGTAATTAAAATGATTTTAAAATTGATACAGCTTATTATTGGTGATGTTATTACTGCTATTATTAGTATTAGTATTATTTTGTGCTCAGTTGATTGCAGCGAGAGTAATTCTCGATTGAGCTATATCGTTTCCCGTTGGAACTTTTTCCCTCTGTTTCTTTATTTGGTTGAAAAAATCACAGACAGGTTTACGACTCTATTACCGAAGACAACCATCTCACAGCTGGAGCTTGGGCTTCTTGTGAATAAATGAGATCTGTTCGTGCTTAGACACCCACACAGCCAGAGCATGAATTGTAAGTTCCGTTGCGTTAAACGAATTGAGGTATTGCTACTCTCCCTGGATAGGATGATAGTCCACCGAAGGCTACCCCATTCCATTTCCCCCCCTCTCCGCCAGCATTTTGTTTCCCTGACGGGTCACGGGTACCCATTCATACTCTTGGGTGGGTGGTTAGAGGCACTGTTATAGGAAGGTTGTCTTGTCCAAGAACACACACAATGAAATGGCTAGGGCTCGACTCCGAACCTGCAGACCAGAAGTCCGCCAATTAGTGGGCCATCGCGTATCCCACGAATTGACCCTTAAATGACTGCTTGAACCAAAACAACGTCTTTTTTCCGCTTGATTAAAATGTCTTCCTGCATGTGGCCCCCCCCACCATCTTCCCACGATTGGCGCCAAAGGACGTCATTTCCGGCTGGATCGCTGAAGAATTACTTTGACGCATGAAATAGGAAGGTTTGCGGGTGGCGAGAAATCTAACACTGAGTTGACCGCGTGTTTCTGCAAAGTTTCCGCGTTTTCATCGCGCGTAACAAAAATTCGCGTGTTGACCGGGGGGAAATTGGGAACGAAAACTATCCCAAGATGGCGGATGAAGTGTGTGGTTTGATAGAGTTTTCTCGTTTGGCTTGTTACCAACCTCAGGACGGAAACGGGGATCTCATTATTATTTCATAAGATGCTGACCCTCCTCTTTTGATATATGAATGCTACAATGGACGAAAATCGTCACAAAAACCAGACCACGTTTCAATGTCTCAGCAGTCAGTGTACACACAGCATTGATACCAAAGGTAAGGGAAAACTCTGAAACTTCTTGTTATGAAGACAGCTTTATACTTTTACTATGTCTGCTCTTCTGGAATTATTGAAAGAGTAACTTTTAACCTGTTAAAATCATTATTTCGCCTTTTTGAAGTGCCTTGTTTCTGAATTCTTGTTTTTATCCAAACAACTCTGCAAATTATTTAACAAGCTATTAAGGACTTTTTCCATGTTCGCATAGCCTCATCTATGTACACGGAGAGTAGAAAGAATTCAAGAAAATTATGCAAACCTCTGAGAATTCTCCCAAGTGGCTAGCTCACACTGACTGGCTATCTATGTTTGACTGCTTGATGGACTCAGACCAATGAATTGACTGAATTACTGAAATGCTTTTACACAACTAGCTGATCAACTAACTGACTATGTGACTTTGTGCATGACCTAGTGATCGTAGACTACCTGCCTAACAGTCTGATATACTTACTGCCCAACCGACTGACTAATTGAATGAATGACCAATGGAATGAAAAGTGAATTATGTGGCTGAATGAATTACTGCCTGACAAATTTTGAAATGGACCATCAGACTCACCAACTGACTGCCAAAAATCAAATGACTGATGAAATGATTCAATTGCTGAATGTCCAACTGAATGTCTGGCAAATTGAGTGACAGCCTGAGTAAATGACAGATTGACTGACCTTTTGATATCTAGTGGACTGACTCATAGGTGGACTTGGGCAATTATGTGCATCCCATATGCAGAGATTTCTTATAATGTTTTCTAATGAACATGCACATGGAGCCATCTGGGTGATATGATAGATAATGTGACTCTGCATCCTCGATGGCAATGGCAGTTATTTCAACAAAGTAAAATTTCTCTTTCCTTCTTCTGTTGGTGGAATAAAGAATGCATTGTACCAAGGGAATGAAATTCATTCTCACAGGTATTGGAAGATAGTACAAAATAATTCAGGCAAGAAAACTGTTATAAAATACTTGTCAGAGTTAGTGATAAATTTAAGGGGAAAATGTTGATCCAGTTATGTGTAGGTTCAGGGATAAACAAAATGTAGATTTGCTGTAAGAGAAATCTTTTGAAAATTTGAAGATTTCTAAAATTTTCAAATGCTGCAGTTCATAAATTACATATGATTGCTTGTAAATGTTGGCCCAAGCTCCAGATTTTCAAGGTTTGGAAGCTCATTGACTGGTTAACTAGGTTTCTTGAATTCCTGGTAGACTGACTGATTGACTGATGCACTCACTGCCTAAGATGCTTACTATCTGACTAGTCAGCTGAGTGACTGGATGTGTAACTAACTTGCTGACTGATTGACTGAGGGACTAAATGACTGACAGACTGACCTGTTGACTGATTGAGGGACTGAATGTGTGATGGAAAAAGAATTTCACCAATTGACAGAATAGTGAATTGGGTAGCCAACTGACATGGTGGTGAGTAACTGACTGTCAGACTAAGTGACCCACCTGACTGTGTGACTTGTGCAGATCACTAGCAGACTAAATCAGGGGCTGACCAATGATGAAATACATTATGTGTATGTAAGCTATGGCTTAAGTTACTGACTGATCAAGTCAGTGATACTGAAATTATTTTTCCATCACACATGCAGTCTCTCAATCAGTCAACAGGTCAGTCTGTCAGTCATTTAGTCAGTCAGTCAATCAGTAAGACTGTTGAACTGACTTTCACAAGTTAAATAAGTGACTGACAGGCTGACTTACATTGTGACTGACTGCCTGAATAGCTGGTGACTAACTGACTGATGTATGGATTGACAGTTAAGTGGACCAACTGATAGACTGTGTGAATAACTAACCAGTTGAAGAACTAGTGGCCTGACTGGGTGATTACATGATTGACTATACTGTAGCTGACTGAGTGAGTGATAGACACACTGATTTGATGGCTGAATGACTGTCTGGCAAATGGACTAACAAGTGGAGTAACTGGCTGACTGAAAGAGTGATTGTCTGACTCAGTGATTGTTTATCTGACCTTATGGCCAGATGGTTGACTGATGACGTGTGTGATTAATTGACTGACTGAGCAAGTGACCTTTTGACAAAATCAACTGGTGGACTGACTTGCTGACTGATTCAGTGACTGACTGATTCAGTGACTGACTGATTCAGTGACTGCCCAACTGACCCTAAGGCCAGATGGCTGACTGGCTGAATTTGTGATTGATTGACTGAATGAGCATCCAACTGATTTGCTAAATTACCTACTGGTGGACTGATCACTTGTCTGTCTGTCTGACTCACTGACTGTTTGTTAATGGGATAAATTACTGTATGAGTGACTAGGTTGCTGAACAATTTATTGGCTGGTCATTCGAGAGCATTGACCGTTCACAGCCAAGGATTGTAAGGGAGAACTTTAAAGTGGCTAAATTTTTATTGACATGATAAGTTTTCAATATTTGTCTATCTAAGATCTGTTAGTTAGAAAATTAAGATCCGTTGAGCTAGTGAATTTGCTAATCTCGTGTCCACTCCAAGGTGTTGAATTCTTCTGGGCTACTTGGTAACAACGTACTACTCAAAAAAGGTCTGCTGTTCGTTTAACTGTTTACGAAGATATTGTATTCTGATGACATCTGCGCGTAGAATACCTACACGTAATTTCTGAACATTGCGTGAAACAGCAGGACAGTCTTTGCACAACCTATTTTCTTTTAAGGGCAGTATGTGTTGCAAAGGCATGAAGATGTAATGTCATTAAGTATTCCACACCCTTGGCTTATTGAAAATCCAAGATAGGAGGAACTTGTTCTTGCGCACTGATCATGACAGAGAGGTTCGGTTTTGGCGCGCAAAAATCCAAGTTGATAAGAAACATCATAATAGAGTTACTTCATCAATTCCAAGGTTGGAATTTTAGTAAGGATGTAAGTCTTTCTTCAACAATCTGCATAACGACACTTGTAGAATCCAAATTCGATACCAAGAGTAAATTTCACTTTGGGCTGAAGAAAATTTCAACCTTGGTACAGATTTTTTTTATGGGTGGAGTTATGGAAAAAGTCAGGGAAGACGATATTCTTGCTGTGCTATTTTTTTTACATAGTTGTCAATAAGTGTGCATGTCTAAATGTGATCAGTATCGTTGAACATTAAATTACTATTCTCGTGTTCTTTAACTCTTTCAGATACAGCGAGGATTTCAGCTCTAGAAGAATATCAAGAGAGACGAAAAAAACTATTTGTTGGTGAGTTAAATTTTTTTCATTTGAAATCTGGGTAACTGTAGAAATGAACACTTTTGCATCCGCAGATATATTTAGTAGTAGTTGAGTGTGATTAACTTGAACCAGACATGCTGAATTATGCATTATTTTTCCACTATGTCATTTTACCAAATGCAGTCATAACAATGCGCAAAATATGCCATGTATTTCACCGGAGAGCAAGGCAAAACTACGGAGCAACAAAATGGCTGCTTTGAACGATCTAAAATTTGTTTGTTTTGTTTTTGTGAAATGATTGTGGAATAGTAAATCCCCTATTCGATGGTTTAACTTGTATTACAAGCAGATATTTTGCTTAGTACCGTATTTCTCCTCGCCCCTTCGGGGCTTGGAAAAAATACTACACAACTTGCAAAATATCCGCTTGTAATACATGTTAAACCATCGAATAAGGTGTATACATTTCTCGCTTACTTTTGCTCTTCCAGGTACCGCAAAGAATATGTCCAAAGAGAAGATCAATGAATAAAGGGGGTAAGTTTCTAAAGAAACTGTGGTGCTGCGTCAGTGGGAGAGTATAACAGGGTAATTTAGTGTTATCAACTGAGTTGAAAATGTAAATTGGCCACCGTAAAGTGTTAAAAGGCTGACGTTTTGAGTGTTAGCTCTTCGTCCGAGAGATTGAGGAGAAGATCAACAAGTAAGAGGATGAGCGTAACAGGTGAGTTACTTAACCCATGAAATTAAACCGAAGTGGAATTCCGTGGAAGTTTCAACATTCGTAAATTTGCATCTTCAGACTGCATTTAGTCTCGTTCAGCAGAAAATCAGAAGTTGTGGATTGTTTTTGTAAATTGCTCGCTCATTTTTCCTCTTCTAGATACCACAAAGATTACAAGTTTGATAGGAACGGCAAGGAAGACTAAAAAACACTAAAGGAAAAATATCCGTCATAAAGTGAAAATCTCAATTTAGTGTCAGCATTTAGGATTTCTACTTCGTTTCCATTTTGAAAATGTAATTTTGAGGTGCTTTTTGATTAAAAGAGGGAAAAGAAGAAACGAAAAGTGTTAGCGTTGAAAGGAAGGAGAAATTCAACGCTCCAAATTCTCGCACGTGAGACTTGCTCATTTACATACACTCACAAAGTACAATCAGACAGGTTGTATTTATTGTGACTTCAATTTTACAGTATTTGCAGAATTAAGAAATGCACAAAAAACGACGCAGACCGGTCCACCATCCCCTACTTGTACCTTACCTTGCAGATGTCATGGAAAAGTTAACATCTCAAGCAAGAGACCGAGAAAAAAGGGCAACCTTGGATGAGACAAAAAATCGGGGGTCGATCCGCCACCGTCCCCCACCGCACCCACCTCTTATAGACAGTTATTTTGTAGTTTTAATACAAGTTTAACATTGTGGTACGACATATCGTAATAATCATGTGTCTTAACACACGCATGTGTTTTAAAAGATGTAGTTTACCACAAGGATAAACTTGTCTTAATACTACAAAATAACTGTCTATAAGAGGTGGGTGTGGTGGGGGACGGTGGCGGATCGACCCCTGATTTTTTTGTCCCATCCGAGGTTGACAAATTTCCTCGGTCACTTGCTTGACATCTGTAAAGTAAGATAAAGAGACCCTCAGAGATAACTGAGAAGTAAAGAGGATGAATAAACGAATTATAAACTTCTCACAACATCACGAGGGCGCCGGATAGCGATTTATCTGCTGGATGGTGATTACCCGCTAGACCCCAATTTTTGCTTTCCTTCCAGGATTGATTTTTTTACCTGGTGTCTTGCTTGAGATGGTCATTCCTCCAACTTGTACTGAGAAACAGTTCAACTTTGTGCTTAAGTATAAAACAAGTGTCTAATGCTGATGAACAGATGGGGGAGGCACACAATATAGCCCCCACATTATTTGAGGTGGTCGAGTTACTTCTTTTTTCAAGATGGTTGTTCGTTTTAGATATAGACTCATTTGGTTTCTTTTACTTCATGCCCACAATAGATTGACTAAATCTTGACATAATTCTTTTCTCCTTCATTAAACGCCTAAACCGCGCGATCTATGAAAACAACTCTGAAGAAAAAAAAAAAAAACGATCACACAAGCCTGGGTGCCGAGTTGGCGGCATAGTGCTAGGGAAATAAGACTTACCGTCTCTCCACATCGTTTTCTCTTCTTAGAGAAAGCCAACACTATGGGTCCAACGACCCCCTTTAAAATAGAGCATAAGTGGGGTGATGGCTATTTTTATCATTTTACGGCTAGGGTTTATTTCTTTACATTTACGTTACGTTTAAAAGAAAAATTGTTAAGGTTAAATATTTTTTACGACTACCGGTTAAGATTTGTCAATTTCTATGCCTTACGGCTTAACCTTTTTGCCGTTTCAAGTGTATGGGTTAACCCCATTAAGATCCTCTTAAAGCTTAAAAATCGGTTGATGATGAAAAAAAATAAATTCTTCACTCCTAAGATAAGGAAAGGGAAAAAAGGATATCCTTTCTCTTTGTTTTTTGGTGGACCAAGTCTGGTAGCATCCCAGATCAAGACTGAGGAAGAGATTTTCTGGGTGAAGCCAACTCCATTCGAGGTCAGCTATTAGTCACCCTTCTCTTGTACACAGTTCCAGATCCGTTCGGCAAAGCAAGACAGTCCAGTTTCCAAAACAGTTTTCACACACTTCTCTTTTTTTTTGGTGGACCAAGTCTTAGCATCGCAGGTCAAGAATGAGGAAGAGATTTTCTGGGTGAAGCCGAATCCATTCGAGGTCAGCTATTAGTCACCCATCTCTTGCACACAGTTCAAGATCTGTTTAGTACAGCAAGACAGTCCCGTTTCCGAAACAGTTTTCACACTCTTCTCCTTGTTTTTTGGTGGACCAAGTCTGGTAGCATCCCAGATCAAGACTGAGGAAGAGATTTTCTGGGTGAAGCTAACTCCATTCGAGGTCGCTATTAGTCACCCTTCTCTTGTAAACAGCTCAAGATCCGTTCAGCAAAGCAACACAGTCCAGTTTCCAAAACAGTTTTCACACACTTCTCTTTGTTTTTTGGTGGACCAAGTCTTAGCATCACAGGTCAAGAATGAGGAAGAGATTTTCTGGGTGAAGCCGACTCCATTCGAGCCAAGACTGTCCAGTTTCCAAAACAGTTTTCACACACTTCTCTTTGTTTTTTGGTGGACCAAATCTGATAGCATCCCAGATCAAGACTGAGGAAGAGATTTTCTGGGTGAAGCTGACTCCATTCGAGGTCAGCTATTAGTCACCCATCTCTTGTACACAGTTCCAGATCCATTCTATGCAGCAATATAGTCCAGTTTCCGAAATAGTTTTCACTATCTTCTCTTTGTTTTTTGGTGGACCGAGTATTACCATTTTAGATCAAGTTTGGTGAAGAGACTTAACAGGTGAAGCCGGCTCCACTGAGGCTCAGCTATTACCGTAATTTCCGGTCGTTTACCCGCGGGTAATCTGTTGATTTTGCATTAAACGCGCGCCACTGCGGGTAATAGGGAGGTGCGGGTTATGTGACAATTTTAAAATCCAGTGGTAGTTGAATTGAAAAAAAATATCACCAACATGCGTTTCCACCTCTCAAGTAAATTTTATTGTGTTAATAGTGCCGCAAAGCGGCACGAAAACATGATGCCGACTCGAGTTTATTTCACGCATAATTAGTTGCGCGACGAACAAATTATTATCGGTACGCGTGAAAACAAACCTTGATGGTGACAAAAATTATCCATAGATATCCGGCGCATCAGTAACAAATTTCCATTTAACACTAGCTTGAGCTAAAGAGAATTTTCCCGTTTTAAGGGACTTGTTAGGCCCAATAGAACCGGAGATATCGATTTTTTCAGAAATCGCCGACAGTACTTTATAATTCAAGTTTTAATACTCACCCAACTTTTTTTCAACAAATCAACATGGCGCTGAACGATCGCTCGCACAAAATGTGGCCACAAATTCGCATTCTGTCAAGTATGAAACTTTGAAATTTGGGCATGGGCCGCTAGTGTTTTTACTGTATAATCTTATCAATAAAGTATATGCTAAATTGACACAGAATTGTGCACGCGTCTGAATTTCTTTGACCTTTAAACTCGACAAAGACGCTTTCAAGTTTTCGAAAGTTGGATCAGACAACTTTTAAAAGACTGAAATGTATCACCTTAATGTCACGTTTTCGCCACCAAAAAGTTGAATAACAACGTGCGGGTTATCCACCAGTGCGGGTAATCTGTTGACTGTTTTTTTCGCCGTATGCAATAATCGGCCGGTGCGGGTAATCGGCCGTGCGGGTAAACGACCGGAAATTACGGTAGTCACCTGTCACTTGTACACAGCTCAAGATCCTTTCGGTGCATACAGGCAGTCCAGTTTCTGAAAAAGTTTTTGTATTTTAGTGGACCAAGTCTTATCATACCAGTTCAAGTTTAAGGAAGAGACTAAATGGGTGAAGTCGAATCCACTGGGGATTAGGTATTTCTTCCTTTTCTCTTGTACAAAGTCCACAATCCAATCAGGGAATGCAGACAGTACTGTGGCCTAAACATCTTTTCCCTTTTTAGATGGACTAAGTCTTTGCATCACAAAACCGGAAAAAAAAGAATTTTTTTTGGTGAAACCAATTCTTTTGTGGGTCAGCTATTACTGACCCATGCAGACTGTCCTATGGCCTAAAAAGCTTTTCCTTTTCTTCTTTTTTAAATACATTCATACTCACTTGCATATTTACAGTGGCTTTCTCCACCATGACAAAAAATCTTCTTCTTCCTTATCCTATGCAGAAGACAATTATTAATGGACATTTCAGCAATGTTGTATTTCTATTTCTATACTAATGCACTTTAATGTAGTAATGTAACACAGCTGTAGAGCTTACCATACAGCACTAAGACTTCTGCTTATTTGATCAGTAATTTACTAAATGAGTACAAAAATGCAGTTTTGTCAAACAAAATTTGACACTTACAGGAGTTTCTTTAAAAGAATGATAACTGTGTTACAAAAAAGAGAAAATTGGTTTTCTAAGTGGATATTCATTTGTCAGTCACCATTTGTCAGTCACCAAATACTGCTAAGTTTTTCCCCCACCCAAAACTTTTTCATATACATGTACTTCTGATTAATTAAATTCTAAAAAGTCTGGTCAACAAAGGTTTCCATATATAGCAAAAAGATTTCCCTTTAATAAGAATCAAGAATGACTTCTTTATATCATGAGCCAGGAGAGAAAGCCAACTGTTTGTAGCACAATAAACCCACAAATGTTGATGTTTTCTCTATTTTAACTGTCCTCTGCCCCTTTTGGGGCTTCATTACCAACATTGGCTGAAAGTTATGAACCTTGTGAGTCCGCTCTATGCACTTTTTTTCTTACTCAGGATCAAAGTGGGTAAGCCTATGCAGGAAAGATGGGCCGATCCTGCCCACTCGGGAAGCCAATCAGAACACTGGATTCGCCCCATGTTGCCAATGGGTGCTGCCAGCTATTTAATAACAAAATGTATATACTTACTTTAGATTTTTAGACCTCCATATCCATTAATTTGAAAGGCAAAGTTTTATGTGTTATTTCAATCATTTTCAGCTATTGTCAACCAATTCACTGAATTAAGATGCTTACCTGTATAACTCAGTGCCATCTTCTGAAACATTGTCAACGGATCAATCCACTTTGTATCTTTTTCCCACTAAAAAAAAAATTAAAGATTTACATGTAATTCCAGCAGGTCCTCACCCTTTCACTCCCGGGATCTCATTAGTAATCCTTGCTACTGTCTGCTATGCAATTCTTATTATGTTAGTTCAGATAATTTGGTATTGGATCAACTACAGCAGTAATAATAATCTCATGTTATAAGGAGAAATTCTGTCTTGGTCACTCATGGGAGTTAAAGGGGTAACAATATTGAGAACTCCAGTGCCAGCAATATAAAAAGCCATTAATAATAGTAATTGGACCAAGAGGAGTCCAATTTGGACTGTAATCATACAAGTGATTAAAAAGATTGGACAACTGCTTGTCAATCACAAGTATGATTACAGACAGAATTGGACTACACCAAGTCCTGTTACCAATTAATCATAAACGTACCTTATTTTTTGTAAATTTACGTATCACATTCCTTGTTTTGTGTTATTTTGTTTTTGTTTCTGCTTTTTGTTTCACGTTAAAAATGTTATGCAGAAAAAAAACCTGTGAGCAAATAACAAAATAAAACAATAACAACAACATGAAACTCATCACAGAGTGTACTTGTCTGTCGATCAGCCATTAGCTAAGTTATAAGTGGGTCAGCCAACTAGTCAGTCAGTAGATAATTCAGTCAGTCAGTCAAACTTGTATTGTGTCAGGTAATTGTATTGTTACAGGTGTAAAATGCAGCAAATGGGAGATAACAATTCACTTGGGTAAAATCAACTAAAACTGACATCCTGTCAAGTGACAGACACATTAAGATACTTACCCTAGGCTGAGGAACTGCGGGGGAAATTGGTTCCATTTTCACAATTTCCCTGCCACAACCAGTGCACCACAGTGATCCACATTTTTGGAAGAAAATTTGAGCTCCTGTCATTAGAACCTTAGAGAGCAACACAAACAGTTTGTATTTTTACCATATGTTCTGACTAAGAAGTGCAAAGGTTTTTCTCTTTTGCTTGCTCATAAGTTTTAGTTTAGTTGCAGAGTTTCCTACTCTATATACATGTATAAAGTCGACATGGTTTACTGTCTACATCTTTGAATTCTTCTAATAACATTTCCTGACAAGGTAAAATATTGCAGCTCATATGCATCCTCGAATGTGGAGGAACCCCTCATAACCTTAATTTACCGTGTATAGCTCGCTTTTGAGCTTTATTTCATCATGATATCTGAGTGTTTAAGTCTTACCAAGTTTCATTGCAGAAGTAAGCAAATCTTTCCGATCCACTTTTGCTGTTCATAAGGGCTTCGGTCTTCAAAAACGTGCATTTAGTCGCCAAAAATTCATAAAAGAGCCCAAAACTCGTTTAAACGCTCTAAACATCGCACAGGTCTTTGTAAAATGAGGAATAGTCCTGATTTTGCAGACAACTTATCCTCCACGTGCAGTTAAACCTTGAGGTTTTTCATAAAAAGCCGCCATTTCAAAAACCGAGTTTTCTGGGAACGAGATTACGTTGACGTCAGGGACCACCGGAAGAACTGCTTTGAAAGAGAGAGGAAAGAGAAAAATCTTGAGATCAGGATAAAAGGGGTTTAGAAGTAATCCGGATGTAGGTGGGACTCCTACACTCAAGTATCCTCTTCCAATGAAAAAATGCCGAGGCAATTCTGACTTGGTGCAACAGCAGTTCCCATCCCCCTTAAGAGCCCGTGATTACTGACCTTCATAAAAATTAATTCATCAAGCTATCAAAATTGATTTTCATCTTGTGTACTCTATTTAGGATTTATTAGTTCTTAGATTCATTGGTCTGTCAAGGTACCGACCATTTTACAAATCAAACGATCAGTCATTCTATGATTTTTTTTTTAGGGGGGGGGGGAGGTAGGGGCATTTTGGCTTCATTTTGCCGAATGATTTGGGAATAGGTTGATTTTTTTCTGCTCCACAGAGTGTAGTTTTAAAATATTTTTGAATCATTGCCTTTCTTCGTTAAAATTAGACTGTGCAATTGTAAAACTTCCTGTAAACAACGCATAACATTTTTTTACTGTTTTGTTTCAGTTTGCAAAGTTCAAAACTATCCGGAAATCAAAGAGCATTAAAGTATAGCCATGGGCATTCAAAAAATGCGAAGATTATCCCAAGTAATGCGTTATTTGAGAAAAGGTCACCTTCTTGTTTAAGTTTTTATATTCTTTTCTCTTATTCACAAGTGCCTTTAGAATCTTTGCAATCCACTTAACGAAAAGGGTCTTTTCAAAATTGTAACTGAATTAAAAATGAAATTTTTGGGGGGCAATAATGTGCAAATTGCTGTAAAAATAAACTGAAATAAGTTCACGTTCAGCGACTGCTAGATTTCGTTGCCAAGAGGGATTCTTTTGACCCCAAACAGGGCAAACTATTTGCACATTGTAGGTATGCCAAAGAAACTTCAGTTGTCTGCAAGAAAACGAACACTGTCTCAAAATTTCTTCTTTACAAAGGCTGGTCATGCAAACCTTCTTTTCTTGAATAAACTGTTAAACACACTTGAACCAACACAAGCTTGTTTGTTTGAACATATATCAGATGTTCCTTTCAGAGCAGTTTCTTTAGAAAACGTGCGGCCGCGTTTCTTGCCTCGACTCGCCACTTACGTAAATATTTAGTTATGATATTCATTGTGAAATTCTAGGATTTTTTTATGCCATTTTATTGTATTTATATTGTATTTTTTACGTTTCTATTAGCATGTAGAAGGTGATTTACAGATTAAAAGTACAATAACTATCTTAACTTCCATTTACTTAGAAGTCAATTTTATATGTAGAGTGTGTTCTGTTAACTTGGACTTTTCATCAATAACATTTCTAATTTTAATGCTTGTAATCCTCTTGAAAAATTATCATGAGCACGATATGAAGTGTGGTGCTGTTGTTGTTCAGATGAATGTTATCGAAATGATGTCTTCCATCACTGATATCATTAACAAAAAAATTATTATTATTAATGAAAGAAAATTCACATAATAAGGTCTTGTAACCAAATTATATATTCGTAGAGATCTTCTTCATTCAACATTCGTTAAAATACTGTAAAAATTGTAGCCCTACACCCTGAGTTTCGATTTGTTCGGAAGACTCCCTTGTGTGGCACTGTGATGTTTATGCCCAGAAAAAACTTTTGTTCCATCTTTTTATATCTCAAAGGGAATGGATTTATTTGAAAAAGATTGTATCGCGTGCAACCCTGATGAACTGAAATATTGCTATGAAATGCTGAAACCCAAAGATCATATTCTCTGAAATTCAACATGCATTGGAAAAAATACAAAAAACAAAAAGATTAAGTGTAAACTGCAAAAACATGAAAATACCACTTAATGAAAGAGCCAAAAGAACGAAAAAAAAAACAGAATGACCTGAAGGCTTTTTAAGTGGGATGGAAGTGTTCGTTTTCGACCATTAGGCAAATTCTATGTCAATGAAATTCTCCCGAGGAAATTTGTACCAAGTGTAAGAACAATCCAGTCAGTTTCCACCCAAAAATTTTGCACTCCCAAAGAGGTTCAACGTTTTTTTTTATTTACTTTTCTCTTCTGATATTCCTTTCATTGAAGATTTACAGAAAATCATTATCACATAAAAAATAACTTATTTTGAGTTCTTTAGTTATTTGCGAAGTGCTGGTTCAGTGCAAATACACCTGGTTTGTGTGATTGTAGCTGAGAGAAATGGTGTTTCTATCGCATTCAGCCTTTTTAAACATGTCGTCTCATTCGGTCATGTTTCCTGTGACTTCTTCCCAACTGTACTAACAACAGTCACCCTGCGTTTTTGACATGTTATTGTTTGCAGTGTATGTTCTACAGGTTTATTGACCGTCTCTGTTGGTGAGTATTGTGGCCAAATAATGACTTTAATGAAAATGAACTTTTGATTAATATTCTTCGGAGCAGCAACAGTATAACACAGCGGCATTTTGAGTCAAACGCCTCTGCAAATGCTATTAATGAAGGTATTTTTGTAAATTAACTTTCCCCAAAAGTAGAAAACTGTTCCTCTACTACATACGAGTTTGAAATAAGCATGTTCATTGTTGACCCAATATTATGAATAAATTTATCTCTATGAATTATACATCCTTTCTTTGATTTAAAAAAAAAATGTTTCCCTGGTACATGTGTCTGAACTAAGACCAAATCTATGTATCTATATACTATCGAGCAAAATAAATGTATTTCTGTTAAGGAGTATTTCTTCAGATGAGGCAGAAAGTTCTGTCTGACGAGCGCTCAGGCGCGAAACTCAGAGTCACAGAGAATCGATGCGTCCTCTTTAATTCTTTAACCTATGTATAATGTCCTCGTAACGTAATAATTACTATTTTCCCAAGTACTATCAATCAAATTATTTTTTGAATGTTCGTTTTTTCCAGGATGAATTAATTGGTTGTTTGCTACAAATGTCTAAATTTAACGTGAAGGTAGATCAAAACTAACAACAATTTTGAAGACCAGTGATTTAAAATCCTACTTTGCATTTTCAATCCATTTTTAATTTTAAACCGCTTCTGATACTTTTTTTCTTAACAAAAGCTTGGAGGTTAGTCGATAGACACAACTAATTTCTTATCTCTAAAATTATTTTCAGAACATAGAGAATTTAAAATAATAAGTCTGAGTGATTTCTCAGTCGATAATAAGCACCCAAAAACTTCTGTGTGGAAGTAATGCCATCTGATCTTCTCAGTTTTCTCCTCATTTTCGAATTTTCTTACAAGGTATTTGATGCTATAAAAAGCCTTGACAGTCTCTAAAACAACCTGTGAATTAACACGTAAAGAAAAAGGGAGAAGGTGGGGGGGGGGGGGGAGAGGGGAGGGTTTTAGGAGAGAGAATGAAAAGACAAGATAAAACATTTAGAACAGCTTTCTTTTCATTTTTCAGTATCAACTGTTGACACATCGGCGTTTAAAAAGAAAACGAAACCATTTAGAAGATGTGCATAGGCTATTTTATCGAAATGGGGGAGTGTTGAAGACACGTTTTCGCGGTTAATATTAGATGTCTACGTTTCGAGCGATAGTATAGAAGCTTGTGCAATTACGACCAAATGGTGTTTTTGCAAACTTTTGATTTCAACCAGATGTTTATTTACTGATGTCTATGGCTATGTATATCGTGTGAAATTTTGTGGCCATGGTCACGATTGGGGCAATCCTCGCCAAAGATTAGTCACCTAATCAGATTTATCTTCTAAGTCCATTAACGGAAAAGTTACAATGTTTTTGTTTTTCATGGGTCGGTGGATGCCAAGAAAGATTCAGAGAGTCCTTATGAAGATTATATCTATTTCAACGTTGACGCAGGAGGGATTTTAAAGTATAAAAACCTAGTTATGGATTTGTAACCGAATATGCTCCGGAATGGTGTCCATGTCTTGTCTTTTATCAACTCCTTCATGGATACATTAGCCAAAGATTTCTTGAAATAATTACTGTTTCTTTTAATTAGGTTGCGTCCTCAGTGTGATGTTCATATCTCCCAGATGAAAATATCCTGCTGTGACTCATTCATTCTTGCATATTTTATTTCCTAAGACTCTTTTCCTCTTCAGTTTGGGGTCATGAGGGATTTTTAGGGGGCATCTGCATGATTTGATAATAATCATGATGGTTAGACGAGATGGCAACTTCGCTGAGACGGAGATTTGCCTCAGCACTTGTGGCCGGATGTTAATCAATTAAAAGAGTACTAAAAAGGAAATTTCAATGGCGAAATGGACGGAGAGTTCTTGGCGCAAAACTTATCGTCGCCGACTATACTGATAATAGACTCTTCTGCAAATTGATGACTGAAAATTAAAACCACTAAACAGCAAACTATCCAGTAAATTTACACCAGAACCCAAACAAGCGCCTTTTATTCCATTATCCTTCGAAATTCCATTTAGCCATATGTTGTTTTAGCGGATAAAATGTAAGTTTAGTTCTGAAAAAAAATGCGGACATTGTTATAGTTTGGGGTTTCTTGCTATATCCTGATTCTTGTAAACGGCTCTTAATGTACACTATCTCCGTCTTTAATGTCTCCAATAACATTAGTTATGGTGAGTTGCATGATATTTTCAGTACGTGCCTCCAAATTGAACCTCAAACGTCCTTGCAGTGAGAATGAGGATTATTTTCTCATAGGGTGAATGAATGTCTCAAATGAGTGGCTTAAATCCTTTGAAGTTACGCAATTGAAAGCTTTTCCTGAGAAGGCTAAAGATGAGATTTTGCAACATTTGTGGGCAACAGTAATTTCACGCGAGTATGATTAGGATTTCCTCAGTTTTTGTGCTGATTGGCTCACTCCGGAGCAATAAATTAATTAATCTACAGCGATATCAACCAACCGGTTATGGAACCCTTATCCATATTTCGGTCAATTACTGCAATCAATAAATTGAAAAAAAGGCAAATTTTGAGTTCGGTTGTCTATAGATTTCCCCATACGGCACGAGCGCGGAACGCAGGAAAATTCATAGGCGGGCCCCACGAGGATTCGAACCCCAGACCTACGGATTTCTCTGTACGACGCTCCATGCACCACTAAGCAACAGAAAACTTGTTCGTGAGCCAGGTTATACATTATTTCCGCAAGACACTTACGACAAAGCTGATCGTAACAGGATGATGGATGCTTTTCACATTTGCACAGGGTATCAGCTATCAGGTTTATGGGTCATTCAATTTACAGTATTGGTGGAAAACTGATAGGTTTTAAAAGAGGAACTATTTCCTACTTTGCAGTTGCAACGAATGCTTGCTTAAAAGCTTTTTAGTTTGTCTACATTTTCTTGTAATGGGATACCTTTAAGATGAACAGTATAGCGATCAGCGTCAATAAGTCACGTTCATAGACTAAAGGCAATCTTACCCTTTGAAGTAAGACGACTGTAGTAGACTTTAGAATTCGAACTGCCTCGGGTTATAATAAAACACAACCATACTGTGTAATATTTTATCTCAATGGCTCTAAACGCGGCCAGCTTTTCTAATAAAAGATCGTAGGTAAGATCTCATGCCTGCTGAAAAAAAAAACTCCTCTTTAAACCATTAATCAAAGAGCTCTCCCCCTTAGGGCATTTTAAAACTTATATGACTCAACGGCTTATAGGTGAATGATCACAGAGCTCCATCAGCAGGGTCAAAAGTGAGAAATTGATTGTAACAATCTCTTAGAGCCTATGAAGAAAATTTCACGACATTAGTTTACACTCACAAGCTTCCAGGAATTAGATAGTATTTAACGGTTGAAGAGCTGTTCGAAAATTGTCACGATAAAACCTTTGGTTTTTATTAGTTATAAGCCAAAGGTATCCATTGCAGAAATGATCATTTTGAGATAAAAATCGCGATAAGAAGGCACATGACTGTCCCGCGCTGAATTAAAAAAAAATAAACGGACAAAGGAATCGTGACTAGTTTTAAGTGTTAAAAGACTATCCTCACGGTTAGTCTATTTTAAAACACTTTGCTAAATTACTTTTAAGCCTGCGGTTTACAATCCCTGTTAATCTTCCTCATTTCAAATTGTCCTCGTTCTACTTAGCGCTTTTTTTTTTCTTTACCTCAGCAAACAATACTCATGAGGTTTCAATCAGTTTGTGACAAACAACTTAAGAGACAAATTGTCATCTCCACCAATTTTACCTCTGGTATGCTGTAGACTGAGATATGAATACTTCTCCCGCAAGAAAAATTTCGGACGAGTATGGTGAATTACCAGTACCGTTCAGGTCACAGCATTTTTTTAATAGACCTATGCCTTTCTTAGATAACAGTGGTTAATGAATCTCGTAAAGGACGTGCCCCCGCCTGGAAGTGCCATCAAGTCCAAAATCTCATGCCCGAATCAGTGTAGAGAAAATCGATGGAAATTGAAAGTGTCAGGAGTGAAAGGGATGACAACACTGCCGGTGGTCTGGCACCCACAAACATTAAACGTAGGATTAAAAGCAACTTTGGCTCACGTACCCAATATGCTATGTCTTTAAATACAAGTGGAAGCCATTTTTGACCAGATCTGTTCAAGCACTCAGTTTTTAGGTCAAGAATCGGGAGGTATGACTATAAAACCGTGTGGAATACCCGTTGACCGGATTGTTCCTTTCGATAAAGTTACCTCAATATTATGTTACATTGGACAAGAAGGGAATGGGTCACGTTTCCAACGTGGCGTGTCTTTGCAAGCGGAAGCTGTTTTCGAGCAAATCTGTTCAGATTCTTTCTTGGTCGAAAGTTATGTTATGCGACAGTAAAACCGGACGTGATGCTTGTAAAACGGTCTGTTTCTTTTGTTAGGAGTTGCCTTCAATTATTGTCACTTGTGTAATTGGGTGACAAGTTTGAGTGACCTTTGAGATGCACAGTGTAAAGATTTTGGAGAGTGGCTTTAAACCCACCACTGCTACTCGAGGAACATTTTCGTCATTGTAGCTTGAGTGTCTCTGTGTTGAGGGCTTAAAAATGATTTTAACTGCCTTTGCCTTTTTGTAAGAAGTGTTTCAAATTGTTTCAAATTATAGATACTCTGTAAACTTCTTTGACACAAATGTGAGAGAACGGTTTCGAATCTGACAGTGTGCATGATTTGAAATTGCTCTTCTGACCTGTTAAGTCTGTAAAGAGGAATGGAACTTTGTGGAAAAGGGAGTCGATACTTGATAACAATGATAATGGAAGCCTAAGAGGCATTCACTTTCAGTATTACTTAAAAGAGTTAGTTCCCATGGCAAAATGAAGTGGATGAGTGCATTTACCAGGGTGTGTGTTTTTTTGGAGCTTATGAAAGAGAAAACTGTCGAGTCTTTTCAGCATCAAGTGTGAATGGAACCTGACAGCTTTTTATACTTCGGCTAAGAGTATTTATTGTGCAGTCATAGTGTTCCTAATGAATCCATTGTTAACAGGGTTCAGAGGAAAGGTTATGAAAGATTAGAACTGAGAAAAGATTTGCGGCTGTGTGAGCTCAGCTGCCTGTGAACTTCTTATGATACGTAATATCCTTAAGACACTCCTTTGTTCTCTGTGCCGAGTTTATGAAATTCTTTATTGGTTGTTTCATCCCTGCGAAGCCCCACTGTTACATATGGAAGTTATGAAAACTATCGAGCGGATACATTCTCAGGCACGTTCTAAAAGTGTTGTCGCATTTAGTTCTTGCTGACCAAGACAAGTTTTGATCACCACTGACCAGCGTGTTTTCGAGATATTTTGGCTAGCTTTTCGTCAAGACCTTCGTTCCGTTTCATTAAAGGTTGCTAAAAACCACAGATTGTGAAGTGAAATCTAATTAGGCTTTGGGCTGTTGATACGAATATTTATTGACACAACCAGGGAGGGATATTACACATTATTAGCCAGAATGCATGCTGCTTTACATTATGTCAACACGACTACAAAAGTTAATTAGCACGGCGTTAATGACCACACAAAACAAGACCAACACTCTTTTTTGTGTGCCATTTGTCCCTGGGCAAAATTAATTAAACTTTCAAGCGGCTACATCCATCAAAAAAGAATTCTGCCTGATGTATTGAGTTGCTTTTATTTGTTTTTACCATGCGAGCTCGACACTTTGTACACTTTTAATTTGTGTACTCACGTCCTGGATTAATCGACGAAGCTTTATTTTATATTACTTTTGCCTAAAAAACGAGCAAATTGTTTTTCACCATTTAACCCAGCTTTATTAATCCGAAAACATAGATTCTTTGTCCCTATATAAATAAAACATAACGAATATGGTTTTAGAGTTACAATTTTATTTAAAGAACTTTACACATTTTACCATTTATCTACACTTGTATGTGGCCATGCATTTTCACAATGTTTATTATTTTTCTTGTTCAAGCATTAGTAATATATTCTACGTACAATACTAAATTTGTTTAAATTAGAAATCAGAATATCTAGGTATGATTCCTCTTTTCTTTCCAAATATAAATTCTCAAGAACGATTGCAATTTTTTTCATTTTTTCCTCCTCTAGTTCGTACCCTTGTCTCCGTAACTGATGCGTTGCAAATCTACTTTCAGTTTATCTTTGCAAAGCTGTATGATTCCGAGCTAAACTAAAACATATTCAAATGAATTTTCATTCTTTCAAAATTTAACACATGTTATTCCAAGGCCACTTAGACGAAATAATCCTTTCGTTCAGCAATGGCTTTGCTACTTCCATTTCGACATCCAAAGCTAAATAAACTACACTAATTAGCCACCGTGGAGGATTCATTTATATTGTAGTGTTCAAATGACCCTTTTGGGGTGTCTGCCTGGGGGAACTTTCAATTTTCCATTAGAGGCTTCAAAGTTATCACGGGTACAGGACTCGTCTATCCCTCGTCCAGGCCCAGACAAAAACCTTCTAATTTTGTCATTTTTTGAAGCTAATCACATGCGAATCCCTCGCTTTCCATTAACATACCTGAGAAAGAATAGTATAAAAAAATAAATGTAAGGAAATTACGACTACATCAATCAACACTAGCCATTAAATCGCTTAGAGCAACTATTACAATTAAAAAGCGAGTTAAAAATAGAAAAAAGAGAAATCTAGAAGAATTCATTTCTTACTCCAATGTTTCAGATTTCCTGATCAGATTTAATGGGTATCATTGATAGAAGGTTACGATTTAGCAGAAATTTTGCCCGACAAGTTGTCATGCTTTCCATTCGAAGACTACTGTTTGAGTTACTTCTTCGAAACCTTTTTGTTAAAGCCTAAGACCATACACATGAGTATAAAAATTTTTTTTTCAATATTTTGATACTTTTAGACTAAATATTCGCCAGAATGGCGGACTCAAACTTGTATTTAAATGAGAAATGAGAAAATATTTTTTTTGTAGGGCTACAAGGCTAAAGAGGTACGATAATTGACTTCAGTCTAAGAATTAATTTAAAAACTTTTTCTTTTCCTCTGCGCAGAACCGCAAAAGCCAAATTCGACTTATTCAACAAATTTTTAAATTAAAACATTTACTACAAAGAGGTCCGCGCAATAAACAGGAAATCATTATACTTTGCTCATTTTACAAAGAAAATTTTAATTTAATTTTGTGTTGGGAACCAAAAGGTGCGTTATCTTAGAAGAAAGAAGTTTTTCATAAATAAGGAACTCAATTTTCACTTTGTGGTTTCATCATTTTATAATAAGAGATAAGCGCTGGGTATAAGGATAAAAACTTCATCTAACAGGGCGGCGTTCTTATGAGCTAGGATAATTTACTTCTTTCACTTTCATTTTACTCAATTACACTATAGTAAATTTTAGTTTTTTTAATCAGCTTCATTGACTGTTTTCTTCTCTATGGTTCCGTTTCGAATCATTAATTCTGCTTTTTCCAATTAGGAATAAAAACACTATTCACGTACTTTGTAAGCCGCTTTTGTCGACATGCAGTCAAGCTAAAATGAAGCTTCATAACTAAGATAGAGCAAATTGGGATTCTTCTTTTCATTAATAGAAATAAAAAAAAATCCCCTCTCAGTTATACCAGTCACACCACCATATGTAAAACAAAGCTTTTAACGTTGAAACGTCAAGATTTGCTTGACAGTCGATTGAACTGTGAAAAATCATGAGTGATCAGTTTTCTTAAAATTATTTATGACGCGAGTTGGAGTCCAATTTCGGTTAAAAGCAGCCCGCGAAAAGGATCTTAAAATGTCCATTAATTATTTCCTGTGGCCATAAAGTGCAAGGAAGGTTTTCTGAGAGCAGGGGCATAGAATTACTTAAGCCCATTTAGATGTGAAATGAAATCGATGTAGTTTTCTTCGCGCAATTCCGGCCATTGTTCGCGATGTTTTAACAGTTGTATTAATCAACGCTTTTTGTTGAATATTTTGCCATATCTTATCGGCAAGGCAGCAGAACCAATTTAAAGTCTTAATTAATTCGTATTAAAAAGTGTCCTCCTTTGTCTTATCGCTCGGCCTCAGGGTGAAACAGAGATCATAATCTGAGCGCTGTATTCACGGATGCAAATTGCTCTTCCGAAAATGACGAGTAAATTGTCTTCTCCGTATCCTTTTCCCAGTCGGGGAAGGAACTCGATATATGAGCGGAGAAGAAAATAAATCTCCACGCACAAGTGCGGTCGGCGTGATGTTTATATTGCTCGAATATCCGTGTACTCGGGGCTGATTAGCACGGTAAAAAGCAATACGACAATACAGTGGAAAATTAAAAACGTGTTTCCTTTCACGAAAATAGCCAAATGAAATGTCAAAAATTGATGACTTAATATTAGCTTAGGCAAAAGGTCGCAGATATTAAAACCAAATAAGTGTTATCCAAGGAATGAAATTTATTGAAGTCTTATTTTGACAGACGTTTGGGGGCTCAAAGAGGTTACCTCACCGTTTGTTTTGGTGCGTGGAGTTGTTGTTTTAGTAGTCTCGGGTCGTCATTCTCACAGAACAGCCTCCCGTTGACAACGTGAAACCGGTCACCGGCCACTAGTGGGTTATGACAAGTTGTGCAATTAAAGCAGTCGATGTGGTAAACTTTTCCCAAAACCTTCATTACAAACTCGGTGGCGGGAATCAACTTAGCGCACACGGCGCATGCTCCGCTTGAGCCATACAACCTGAAAAGCAATAAGGGCAAATGCCAAATGAGATCGCAGCGCGGATCTGATAACTCAGGATTTAATATGTTCTAAGTAATTAGAGATAAAAGCGTATAAAGCCAATATTTGGAATAGCGATAAATTGTTCTTCACGGGGCTATTCAGTTTGTCGCCTTTAATACAGTAGACATGTTAACTTTCCGAGCATGGTATATTAAAAATCTTGTTTATTAAAATGAAAAAATACACGTCAAATGAAATAGGCTGCCTTTTGTGCGCCCATTTCGGAGGGTCTCAGCAAATTTGCCACGGCGTTGCGAATTAGGGAAACAAACGCAATAAATCGCCTTTCGAAGGTGAAATATTACCACGCTAATGAGTTTTGGGGTTAGCTGCAGCTACTAATACCGGGTATTCTCTCTGGCCTTTATAATCTACGTTATTAATTGCACTTTCATAATGGACGAAATATTACATTGGCTAAAATGTATGCAAAATCCCACCGGTGACACAGGGAAGAAATAATGGAGAGAAAAAAATATATATAATAGAAGATAAAGGCCACTTAAGAAAGAATTTCAAAACACGAGGGAAAGTGTATAGCGCATGAAAAACTGAGACAAATAGACGGCGGCTTTCGACGCGGAAAGCAGCGACATAAATATTGCTGGGCTTCAAAGCAGTCGTTTCATACACAACTTCTCCACGGCAAATTTAAAGGAACAAAATAGATCATTACATGATGAGGTTGTCACACACAAAATAAAAAAATACCCCTTAAACAAACTTAACCCGCGTCGCTGAAGCAATAACATTACAAAATCTATTTGAAACGAGAATGAATAAAAGAAATAATTCGCTTACTTTACGTAGTCGTTTTTACACAAGATCATTCCGCCTTTGGCATAACAAGACGATCCCACATCTCCCAAACTCACGTTGCAGCACGAACATTTCAGGCAGTTTACATGCCAGTACTGATCCAAGGCGAGCAAAAGAAATCGATCCAAAATTTTTTCTCCGCATCCCCCACAACTTCTTATTCCACCCTGAAGGCAACGATCTGAAACGAAGAATATAAACACGATGTTATTGACACGAAGAAAAATTTTGACCAGCGCCGTATTTCACACTCGCTTTCCTGCACTCTAGTCGTACTCTACACGAGGATACAATTTTAATTTGCGTTTTCGAAAGCTCGCTTGCGCGTTGTCGGAGCAATGAACACGTTCTAATTCAACCGCGCATAAAATATTTGAACTCACTGTTGTTTGGGTTCGTGTTGTCCATTTTACTCGGCGACGGAAATTTCGGCAGAGCCGTCCCTTAGTGTGGTTGCGTTGTTAGCCTTTGTGACACTGAGTCCGAATTAGCCAGGGGTCGTTGTTTGTTAAAACAACTCGGGTAACAGTGTACGTTATTCAAAACATTCATCATCTGACAGGGAATTAAGCCTAATCAATTCAACATCAAATCAGCTCCAAACCCTAAATGACCAAGACACAATTAGTTGTCATCATCTGAGAGATGTTGCCATTACGAGCACGGCACAAGCGCTCCTGATTGGTCACTGGCTTTAATAAGACAGCAGTTAAGTCATTTCTACACCCCGTGTATCGCTTGCAGTAATTACCAACACGATACGGTTTAGTTTTCGAAGTTTAATTAAGTCACGTGATTGGTTGTAATTATAGCTCTTGTGGTTTTTTTTGCGGGGAAGCACTTGTTATTCAGAACGTGGCGAGAAAGTAATGAATTTTTCTCTTGTTTGTTGCGCTCCCTGCTGGCAAAATTCCGTCAAAAAATAGGAGTAGATATTACCATGCTTCATTCGCGCAACATATTAGCAGCCTAGATCGGATGTCGCTAAAGCAATACTCAAATACATTTTTCCATTCTTCTCCAGGAAAGCAATTTATTTAAGTCCCGAATCACTTGAAAGGGTCATTTGTTACGAATACAATTGCATGTAAACGGAATGCAATTAACAAACTGACAAGGAATACCCTGCCGAACATCTGTCTAAAGGCAAATTAAACAACTTCGGCTCGGCCAATCACAAGCAAATACGAAGCACTCCAACGAATTGTGGCGACGTTGACCAATATAGCCCGAAGGAATCATGGTGCTATTCATTTACCACTAATATGATGCGCTGCCTAATTATTAAAGCAATTGAAGTGTTTGCTCGCTCTGAAGAACCCATTATTGCGTTTTTGTAGTAAATTAAATAGAAGTGTCTTACGCATGCGTCTGACGGTACTAAAAGGAAATTAGATTAAGGATTGTCGTGCGAAGACCCCTGCAATCTTGCTCTGGGAAATAACACAGACAAGATCGATTTCTTCATGCTCGTACGCCACACCAGGCTCTTGCCACATGTTCTTGTGGCCGATAAGATTATGGCAAATTGGCTTGTGATGGTTTATTGCAATAAAGCGCGCTCACAGTGGGGGACAGAATGGAGATGTATCTCTCATAGAAAGCCGAAAACATCAGGGTTCCATCCGAGTTATTAAATTTTTGGGCCGCGTTGGTATACACAGCTAGACGTTTCTAGCCCGTCTTTATTACTAGCCTTTTTCTTATGTGTACCTATTTCAAATGGATGGGCCAACCACGTTTATTAAAAGTTCCGTTTTGGTTCCACCCGGTTTGCCGGGTGTCATTTATCTGTCAAATTTCTCGACTTTCACGCCAACAGGAGCTTATCGTTCGTGTTTTTGATCTGTTATCTCATTTATTTCTTCCTTCCTTCTCTCATTTTCGACACAATTAGCTCCGGCACGTTCCCACGAGTTCTTGTGCGTAATTTATCATGTGAAATGAATGTGACTGAGGAGAGACAATATACTCTTCGTTAATAAAGAGTTTAGCTCTAGTTTCCTTGTTGTGTGGGCCACTTAGCCTATACAACCGACTGCCTTTTAGCCGGTCTTCATTATCTTTGAGAGTTAAGCACTTTCTTAATTAAAAAACGTGACTATAAAAGAAGACCTCGCCAAATTAAGACATGAACGAGCCCCTTTTGACAACTGTAAAAACAAAAACATTCCAGATTAACATAGCATGGTTTCATTACGTGGTGTCCACGATTGGCAAAAAACTCCATAATCTTAAAATTCCTGTGGGCTTAAAACTAAAACCTTTCTACATCTCTGAGTGAGTTTGTCCAACCCGGTAGTAACAAATGGATGTTCATCGATAATCCTCTATCTATGAGACGACGAAGGTCGTCCGTTCATTAGTAAATTGATGACTCGGTGTTTCTTCACGGTCCCAATGATTTCACCTCTCGCTACTATTGCCGTAAGTCCATAGCTCGACCTCAGGCCATGAATGTTTTTCACAAGGGGTCTTATAGGCTGTGATAGAAGCATAATCGATCGAATTTTCGTTTTTAAATTAACACAACGGGTGTCGTGAAGTTCCCACTGCGTCGAAATTTTAATTGAATTCTTGTATAAACAATGAAATCCGTGGCACGTGCCTAAGACATCACCGGTGATGCTAATCCTAGGGCTCAATTGGAACATGCGCGTTTGTGTACACGAACGGCCATTAACAGTACATCTTGAGGCGATTTGGCTTCGAGTCTAGTTCGCTCCCCAAAAATTTCCCCCTGGCAAACTCTCACGTCAATCTTGGCTTGCTAACGCAAAGTGCAAGCTTTTGGAAGTAGTATTTACATAAATAATTAAGTCTTTAGAAAGTGTAAATACCGTCTTTATTGCTCGAGAACACAGAGGAAACTAATTGTGCGTTGAACGCTTGTGATTGGTGCAAATTTGAAGTTTCAGTAATTACTAGTTAATAGGTGTTCTGAGTATGAAGGCTGTGGTGTGGCTGAGGTATAATGGACTCTTATTGTTTCTTTAGCCATTAGAGAAATTTAATCGCACACTGTATCCTTGGGAGTTTTTACCTACAAATAGCTTAAGAAATAATGGCAAAGCAATTAGAGCGCCAGTGAGAAATTACCTGCTCGTGAAATGCGCCAAGAAAATCCATTAGCTAGAGCTTAACTGCTTAATTATGTTTCCGCTTATTTTTCTTGTAAAATTCAGGAAGAGAAATCAGCCGGAGAATTATATTTTCGGGTTTTAAAGGATCACAGTCTTTTAAAAACACGGGCTTGTTTAACCATCTCTCAGCACCAAAGCCACTCATTTCCATTTACGTGCACTAGGCTAGGCACTTCCAAGTTACACTGCACGATTAAAATTGTTGTAATTTTTTTGTGTGTTTTTTGTATTTTCAAGACTATGAAGTGACTCCTCAAAGGCGGAATTTTCCTTTCAAAATATAACAACACTCTGTGGCGAGTATCGTTGGTGGGAACACATTAATGAAGCTTGTTGTGTTAACGTTCCTTTTGTTCTCGAGCCAATAGGAGAAGGTAACGATGAGATACACATCACACTTACACGTCAGAAAGTGAGGCCAAGGGCCCTTAAAGATCTCCCAAAGCAATTTTCTTAGAAGTGTCTACTCTCCGGTTGTTAAAAGACCCATTATGACTGCTTCATACGTCAAAGAAAATAAATGTGGTGCCCCTTAGGCTGAAGTTTTTCCAATTAACTCGACATTCAACCGCCTTAATGGATCTTGAGTTAATGGCTTAGCGAGCGCACAAGGCGATATAGTTATAGTTTCGCCATGGTGTTCAGCCGTGGCGTTGGCATGGTTAATGTGAAAAGCTTTTCACTACAGTCGTCACCGCAATACTTATATCAAAAGTGGCAACTTCTTTAGTAGTGAACTGTGCGCCTACACCGGCGCGGAAATTCTTATCGCGTTGCTAGCAACAACGCGGACTGTTCTCGAGTCTTCGATCTTGTTGATTTTCGAGAGTCTCTAATTTGCTCTAGGAGGCTAATAAAGCAGCGTATTACATTTGCAGGCTTATGTTTTTATTGAAAATTCCATCCCAAAGTCTTAACTACTTTCTTACGATGTGTCGACAGCTGATGATGAATATCGGGTGAAAACACCAGTCATGCTGTAAAAACCTGCGAAAAAATTCCCGCGGTTTTAAGATTCAGTGCATTTTAAGGAGTCTTCCTCGGTTCGATGACTGTTTAATAGGATTTTAATACCATGTAGGCTATGAAAATCATTATTACGAAAATTTAATGGCAATCTATGCTAGATCATTCTTGTAGGGCAGCCGTATTTCGTGTTTTGTTTCTTTGTAACAAATCGATTCAACAAACGAGTGTAAAATAAAAGAAATAAAAACGATAAACGGCTCTGTCAAATTGTGTCAATATTTAGCTAAGAAGGTTGGAACTAGAGTCGCAGTCCTGACGATATCAATTCTGTACCGAGGATTCGATTAGTTTAGCGTTTTTTTCGGATCAGGTTCTAAACCTACCTTCGGTGAGCTTCTGCATATCTTCTATGTCTCTTCGAGTTGACTTTCGTTATTTTCCTATTAAACTTGTAGCATGGGCGAGAGGAACGTATTAAGAGTCACTTCAGGGAACGTTGAGCCACAATGCGCGCTCAAACGTGATGATATCAAAATGGCGCCAAGGATCCAAGCTGGCTTATTCTTATTCATTGGCTATTAAAAGGCGTTTTTACGACACTTCATTCGCAAACTGGTCTGATGACATGTCGACTGGGCCCTCTACACATGGCACTTAAAACCCCTATTAATTAACAACTCGTCCGTGATATTCGTTTGCATGCAAATTAGTAAAAAGCACAACACAGCTGCGGACAGCATATATTAATGGACGAGAACAAGACCATGTTATTTGTTCGTGCTACGGCAAATAAAATTTCCATTGCCCTCTTAAAAACACGAAGGTGTAACAAACGTTGTAGAGGAAAGACACCGCGCGCTTCTACAAAATAGGCTTGTAAAATTCATCGTTTTTGCCACAAAGTTTAAGAGAGTTCGAACACAAAAATGGATATTCCGTACTTTTAATTAACTTGCCATTAGCCATAGTTCCGCATTGCCCTTGGTAATTTCAACCGGAACGTTGCACAAGCGCTAATTAACAAAACGTCATTAAAAACGACAACAGATCCTAAGTGCAAATGGACACA